GACTTACTCTCTTCTGGGCCCGAAGGGGAATCCCCGTACTACATCTATGCATGGGAGCGGGAACTGGGGGTGGTCCTTTCCGAGGAGGAGAGGCGGAAATGTTTCTGCTTCACCCATAGTCTCTGCATGTCCTCAGCGGTGCAGGAGCGCAACTATAAACTCTTGACTAGGTGGTACAGAGCCCCGGCTAGGATGCACCAGATTTTTCCCTCTCTGCCGGACACCTGCTGGAGGTGCCTCACAGGGGTGGGAACGTTAACACATATCTGGTGGAGCTGCCCTCTGATCGTCCCCTTCTGGCGAACCATCTCACACGTGTACTCAAGAATGTCTGCCAGCGATCTCCATCTCACACCTCAGATGGCAATACTGTCGGTATTTCCGGGATCCATCTCTCGGGCAAAGAAGTCTCTCTTACGATTCTTTGTTAATGCCGCTAGGGCAATGATCCCGAGGCATTGGAACTCCCAGGTGATTCCAACACTGGGGGAATGGTCCACGGAAATGTGCCGACTAATGAGATCCGAGGAACTGATTGCCAAACGGCTGGACAGGTCAGAGGCATTCCAGTCCAGATGGAGGCCATGGCTGATGTTTATGACAATGGATGAGTTTAAGACACTGATATAAAGGCATGATTCACCCTTCTTGACCACGCACTAGTCCTTTACCCCCCCTCCCCTTCCATCTCTCCCCTTCTTTCCTTCTCTCCTGTGTTCTATGTGTCTTGTACCCCCCTGTTGTCCACTTGTCTCGTGGTGTTCTGTGTTGATTGTTCTGTCCGTATTGTAAGGCGGCACTAAGTAGGGCGCAACACCTGAAGAGTAGGGTGCCTGTAATCTCGCAGGGCCTTCCTTGATTACTTTGATGACGGAGACCCAGATTCGGGCCTGACTCCATAACGTTGACCTCATTGCAGGGGAGAGCTTTAGCAGTCTGGAATCCCCAAGCCGGGGACAGGACTGGGAGCGGAGGTACGGCTTGTCTCTGGGCACAATGTCATGTACATTGCTGAGGTGGTTGTTATAGTTTACAGCTCTGCTACCATTACCAAATTTGCCCTTCTGATGTTGCCTTTGTATGTCGATTTGCTTTATATGCTGTTTATTTTCTACGTTTGTGTGAAAAAACAATAAACATTATTTCTGCAAAAAAAGAAAAGAACTCCAGTCAAACGTTGTCCTTAGTCTTCAAAGTTGAATGACGGCCTGCAACATTCAACCTACTTCCTCTAAACCCCCGGCTGTTATGGACCCGTATGTTTAGTTATAAAAATTAGATATCGGTATCGGTGCTGATGCCGAGTATTTGGGTGAGTACTCCAGTATCAGGATACTTCCGGTATCAGGAAGCTGGGCAGCGCGCCAATACATGCTGCCCGGCTTCCTGATTGGCCGGGAAGCCGGCTCCATGGCCAATCAGGAAGCCAGGCGTCGTGTAATGACGTGGTGCCCCGGCTTTCTGATTGGTCGGGAAGCCGGCTTCATGCTCCCTTGTCACCTCATGACGAGGGAGCATGGAGCCGGCTTCCCAGCCAATCAGGAAGCCGGGCGCCACGTCATTACACAGCGCCCGGCTTCCTGATTAGCCAGAAAGCCGGCTCCATGCTTTCTCGTCACCTGTGACGAGAAGCATGGAGTCAGCTTCCCTGCTAATCAGGAAGCCGGGGTGCGAGTCATTACACGCCGCCTGGCTTCCTGGATGGGACTTCCGGTACTCGGTATCGGCGAGTATCGAAAAAAAAATATTGGTACTCGTACTCGATACCGAAATACCGGTATCGGTGCATCCCTAATAAAAATCATACAAATGTGATATTCTATATAAACAATGATCTCAATGGTTTCAGAAGCAATATTGCACCCTGTGACTGACAGTTTGGTTTCTATGTCCCCTGCTTACTCCCCTTCCCTCCCATCACCACACGTTTATTCCTGTATCTGTACTTCAATGTCACGCTCATTGATTATTGATGATGGTGTCTTGTACCTTGTTATTTAAACATGTACTGTACTTATTACTGTTAAAATCCAATAAAGATTTATTGAATGGAAAAAAAAAAAGTGAAAGCACTGGTTCGCTTTAAAGGAACAGCGGTAGACAGGGGTGACCCATTGCATCTGTGGCTTAATTTAAAGTTGGCTGTGGATTGGAGAACTTTATAGGATTGCGATCTAGTCACGTTATTAAGGCTTGATTACTTTTGGTGCTTGTATGCGTTTGCATGCTTTTAATGCATGACTTACCACATGACTATTTATCTTGAAAGCAATTTTTTTTTAAAACAAATAGTTTTAGTATCTATTTTGCAGCATTGTTTCATGGCGGAATATTTTGCTACAATTTCATAAAGATTGCCATCCAACCCAGGTGCGCAGCAGTGGGAGTGATTGATTTTATTGAGCGGGATCCATTTCAGTTGTCATGTAAAATGCTCCGCCGTCTCGAAGCATTGCAGTAGTGGAAACCTTTCATAATTTGTAATAGATACAATTGATCTCTGTGAAATTTACCTTGATGGGCTGGAAATAAAGACGAAAAGAGGGGGGGGGGGGGGGAATAAAAAATTGAGAGTAGGGAGAAGTGATTTAAGCAATCTTCTCGCAGCTGCATTGCCCCCTGGGGGAATTAAGCACCTGACAAGACATTATTGTTATCACGGGAGCTTATCAGTACCATGCAATTGTGGACATCATTTATACATCTGGCAGCTCTAAAGCCTTTCTGGTTTAATTAGGCCAGGGAGTAACTGGAGACCTGTTCTAAGAGCCAGTTCTGAACCAGTCGTCCGTAGGATCTCAACGACCCTGACATCTCGATCCTTTCTGCTTTCTTACATGACTGTAATACGGCCTCTGCTGCATAAGTAAGCCCGTCTGACAGGCCCGGGAAGGGGCAGCGTAGCTGGCTGTCCTATGTTTGACCCCAGTCAGGAGCTTAATGCGGGTCTAATGTTCCTATTTAAGTCATATTTAACTTAGGAAAGTTCTGGCTCTCCTTCGCCATCTGAAAACGAGCGCTGAATTAAAAGATTTGCTTTCCGTAGGCAGAAAGGTTTTTTGACTTGCAGGATGTTCATTAATGGCGACACCATCCATCTGTACAAGGCTCTGAACAAAAGTGGTAACAAGAAAACACAGTGATAAACACTAACATAGGCTGTCATGTAGAATATGGTGTACAGAGCTACTTAGATGAAGGGACAGGAGATCATTAGGCACAATGTTTGAAAAACAAAAAAAGTTGAGGGACTTTAAAAAGGGAATGGTTTACGGAAAAAAAAAAAAAAAAAAAAAAGATATAAAATCTTTGTTTTACCAATACACATAAAAAAGGATTCCGAGAGCACTATGGGATAGCTAATAATACAGCACAGCAGATGCCGGTTGCTCTGTAGTTTGTTAAGACTGAAATGGAGGAATGAGTTAAGAGCTTAGTCTCCACGATAAGTCATTTAGTTCTGTACATACATTTCAGCTTAAGCTATTGAGGTTTGTAACTACAGCCCTTACGGTAAAATGACAAGCTGGGAAAGGTGAAAGGGAGCCGAACCCTGCACCTGATGGCCCAGAAGAAGAAAGCACTATATTTAGATGTAATATTTCAGAACTAGCTGAATAAAAAAAAATTCTATCCTTGCCATACTAATGAAAGAAAGAAAACAAAAATATGTACAAACCAGTATGGATTCCCTTTAAAGCAGTGGTTCGCAAACTGTGTAACCTCAGGATCCACATTTGTCCTCGGTCATTAAGTTGTGACCCAAGTTGCACTGCAATGGAACGCACGGCATTGCGGTACCGCGCGTTTCCGATGTGGGCAATAGAACTGTGGGTGGGAGGTGCGTTTGGGGTGCCATTCAAATGAATGGCAATGCAACCTCACACCAGAACGTGTGGTAGGTGCGATTGCGTGGTACAGTGCGTTAATTGCACGGGACTGCCAACACATTTCAGGCTGTGATAACCTGGACCTGGTACCAGCTTTGTATACTGTACTGTTGGAAAAGTGCAGATTGTAGCCAGGCAGGATGTAAACTAAGCAATGGTTACAATGGAATGTGCCTGTGATGGCCGCTTTCAAAGTACAGGTAAAGTAAAAGTAGAATTAGGCACCAATTCAGAGATGATTGGAGGATCTCCAGCCGAGTGATACATTTCTGTTACTAGTTAATGTACTTGAATGCATTTAGTGTCACTTGGGCCTTATATAGAATTGTTGAACTATAAGTCGACGTTTTATTGGTTTCTGCTTTCCACCTACATAATGAACACAATGATACCGACATCTTACTGTCCACCTGCTTAATGGTCTGAATCTTTTATTGTCTTGGGGAAGAATTTTTCCTATCTTTAGATATACTCTAATGATAGTACAGAAGTACTCCCAACATAGGTATTTGTAGACTAACTACTACAACTGGTAGTAGTTAGGTATTTGTAGTACAAACTGGTGATAAGTACTTACCTTCACTGATATCTCTGAGCAATAAAATCTACAACATTACACTACAAAGTCATAGCTGTGAGGCTTCAATCTAAGATAAAATGTCCGCGTACCTGCTCGCAGCTCATTTCTATAGTTATCGGTTTGTTCCTGGTACCCTGCATCATGTGGTGGACCTTCCGGGACCTCTTTTATTTCACCCATCGGCGGAACAGCAGGCAGCGGAGGCAGTGTCACGCTTGGCACTTCTACACAAAGAAAAAAATCGATGTTAGCAGGTTATGTGTCAGGACAACAAAGCAAATTTCCGTCTTGATAGAAAGACGTGTAAATAACAAGCCACTTCAGGCGGAAAGAAGAAGTAAACAATATAAATGAACTGGGCGACAAATGCCCGTTCTTCTACGACAATCAGGTAATGCCAAATTAGTGAAACACACGGCCTGGCACAGAGTGCGGTACCCAAGCTAGACATGTACCTTGGTGCTGTATCAGGCACGGCTCAGGGAATGCAGAGACCAGACGTATCAGAGAATTATGTCAGAAACTAACAAGTGAAAGCTCTGGAGGATTCCGGGACATGAAAGTAGGCAGTGATGTGCCTTAAACTCCCTCCAGCAGAACGCTGTGGCTTTGTTGTGTAAAGGATTCAAAGAGCCAATTAGGTAAGGCAGCAGCGGGAGGCAGGAAATAAAAAGTGTCACTATCTAACTCAGGGATGATGTGCTGCTTTGGTAAAGTCATGTTCACTACTTATCCTACTGGAGAAGCAACATTTAAAGGATCATTTTAAGCTGAACTCCGGGATAAGCAAATATTGTCCTCGTAAAAGAGTCCTGTGTATTGTTTTTTATATCTCAGTGTGCTTTGTGTATTTTTTCCAGATCTGTGCAGTAATCCAGTGTGAAACTTGTAGCTTCCTGTAATAAAGACCGCTCACTGCTGCTCTCTCTCCTTGTGTAGAGTGACTGGTCTTGTCTCTGCCCCCTCCTGTAATAAAGATCAGTCACTGCTGTTCTCTCTCCTTGTGCAGGGTGACAGGTCTTGTCTCCGCCCCCTCCTGTAATAAAGACCGCTCACTGCTGCTCTGACTCCTTGTGCAGGGTGACTGGCCTTGCCTCCACCCCCTCCTGTAATAAAGACGGCTCACTGCTGCTCTCTCTCCTTGTGCAAGGTGACTGGTCTGGTCTCCGCCTGTGGTTGGGCCTGCTCCACAGCTCTGCTCATTGTGCTGGTTATGTTCAGTACAGTGATGATGCCACTGCCACTTTAAAGTAATATCTGGGTCTGAAAAGGTAATTAGTGCACACGAAGTGCATTAATACCCATTGTGGCTATTAAGAAATATATTTAAATGAAAATGTTCATGCCCGGAGTTCAGCTTTAAAGCATAAACCTGTATCTCCTACGACAAGGCATCAGGTTATAGGCCAGTGGCCACCATTATTTTAATTCTATTTTTTAATTTTGCATAGCTTTACAAAACCCTATTGGGATATACCTCAGCGTTCCCTTACATCTACAATACATTAAAACATACACTGCCTAACCAAAAAAGTCACCACCTGGATTTAGTTAAGCACATAGGTAAGAGCTGTAGGGGTTGCTTCAGTTGGTTCAGCAATATTATGTGCCCAACAAATGAGGTCAGCTGCCTACTCGAATATACCGAATGACCAGGATTTTTCATCAATTTGTTTCTTCCCTGATGGCACATTGGGCACATTCCAAAGTGACAATGACAGGATTCATCGGGCTCAAATTGTGAAAGAGTGGTTCAGGAAACAAGAGACATCATTGTCACACATGGATTGGCCACCACATAGTCCAAACCTTAACCCCATTGAGAATCTTTGGAATGTGCTAGAGATGACTCAGTGGCCTGACTCTCCCATCGTCGCTACAAGATCTTGGTGAAAAATAAATGCAACTCTGGATGGAAATAAATGTTGTGACGTTGTATAAGCTTATCGAAATGATGCCACGGGCGAATGCGTGCCGTAATCAAAGCTAAAAGGCGGTCCAATTAAATATTAGAGTGTGTGACTTTTTTTTTTTTATGGCCAGCCAGTGTATAAAACACAAGCAAACTGTTTTGTGATATCACTCTGTACACACCAAAACCAGGCTACTCTTTCAGTGTGTAATATGTTATATCGGGTTTACATGGAACACATATTTTTGAGACATACTCACTTCAATCTGATCATTTGATGCTGCAGAATGCATCAGCATTCCAATGAGATCAAAGAAAAATTAAAGATTGTGTAAACGTTTCTTCCCATTGTTGTTTTTATATAATAAAAATAATAATAATACAGGATTTAAAGATCAAATACCTAAGAAAGCAAATCACAGAAGGTTAAACCCCAGAACAAAGATGTAATATGTTGCTGTTCTTAGTTATGGTGGCTGCACTAGGTTTTGTTTTTTTTTTTGTCTTTACTGTGGGATATCCTTTAGGCTGGGTTCACACCTAGGCATATCGAATATGCGCGTTTGTCGCGCGTTTCGTGACGCACCTTTTTACCGCGATGTTTCCAAGGGCTACTTGGCTGTATCCCAATGGAAACACGCAACAAAAACGCCCCAAAGAAGCTCCTGTACTTCTTTGGGCGTAGGGCGTTTTGTAGCACGTTCATACGGCCTGTAATACGCCCAGGTGTGAACCATACCCATAGGAAATAATGGGATTTCGGTGTTTGAGCGTTTTGCAGAGCGTTCGAACGCGCTACAAAACGCCCAGGTGTGAACCAGGCCTTATTGTTACTTGCTGATGCTGGCTGTAACACATTTCCCGTCTTAGGGTGGAAAAGCCCAATTACGGTACTGTATCAATAGAACAGCAGCGTTGTCACTTTACGAACTGGACTACCGAACACCTCCTACCATCCTCTTCTCCATAACATGAGGGTTATCTAATCCACAGAGAAAACTGGAAAGGCTGATTACATTGTTTGAGGTTTCAGTTCAGTACAAAGGAAGTTTCAGGGACACTGGATTTCTATAAGGATCAACAGGTATATTTCAGTACTTGCATACAACGTACCTGGGCTGGAAAAAGAAAAGTAATGCAGCTACCACATGCAGTCTGGCAAGCTGCTATATTGTATATTACAGTTTTGTTCTGGGGTTTAGATACACTTTAAAAAAAGAAGGTTTGTTTCAGTGGGGTGGTAGCACACAATGTGTAATCAAACCATCACCTCTTCCTTGTCATGTGATTTCTTGTGAGTTTCTGATCTTTTTTTTAAATTTAATTATGCTACTCAAATAGCAAATAAATCAGACCTTTGCTTGGAGGACTCTCTGGTAGAGGTGGTGGGCTGGTTGGCACTATACCCCTGGAAAGGGTCAGGTTGACAGTCTGTCCAGTGTTACGTAGTGCAGCCACAACATCTTGATTGGACGTACCCTGGATGTTTATACCATCCACCTTCAAAAAGAAAAAACACATTCTAGTGAATTGCAAAGACATATAAAACAGTGTCCAATGCAAGTTAAAGGAGAACTATGGGGTCAGTGTTTTTTCTCATAGTTCTCCTAAGGGTAACGGGAGGACACAAACTAGCGTCCTCCCGTCACCCAAAGCTCACTATATCGCAAGCTACAGCTCACGGTATACCGAGACACCGCAGCCGGAACGGATACCGACAAGCATGTCTGGATCCGCCCAGCTGCGTGACTGACAGCTGGCTCTGCCTATCTAGAGGCATAGCCAGCTGTACCCCTCCCCAGTCCCTTCCGCCAGTCAGCGCTGGAAGATCGGACAGGGGGGGGGAGAATCCCTGCAGGGAGCCGTGAGTGACAGTCACGGCTCTCTGCACGGATAGATCGAGAAGTGAGCGAGCGACTGTATGTGTTCGATCACTTCCCGATCTACTGAGCCGACCTGTGACAGTTTCATTGTCACAGGTCGGCTCAGATTATGAGGCTGAGTGAAAATCACTCGCCTCATAATTCTCCTTAAAACATATAGCAAAAAAGAAAGACATCCAAATTCTCTTGAGAAGGGGGTTATAGCTTCTAGAAGCAGGGGTGGTCAAACTCCGACCCTCCAGCTGTTGTGGAACTACAAACCCCATGGAGGCATTTACAAGATCCTCACAGCAACAGACATGACTCCCAGAGACAAATGCATCATGGGATTTGTAGTTTCAGCAAATATGCAAAGGGGTAATGGGGCAATTTATTAAAACTGAAGCAGACAGACTCTGGATCGGCTGTGCAGAATAACAAAATCACCTTCTATAGTTGACCTTTAAAAATGAAAGCTTGAAGCCGACTAGGTTATATTCACAGCAGCTTCAGATTTCGTCTGCTCCAGTCTTCGTAAAGTCCCACCAATGCAGTAAAGCCTGTATTACCAGACAAGATACTGAAGCATACTGTGTGTGTGAATGGGCTCTAAAGGAAATCTTCAAGAGATTATGTGTATGGTTAGCTTAAATTCTACCAAAACCTAGCATTGGGGTCTACCTAAACTATATTTACCATAAAGTGCCCATTTTCATGTTTCCCCAAATCTTACTAGCTGCCAAGGAAGAAAGTAGTTAAGGACGTATAACCTTAAAATGGAAAGAAGCTGGAGCCTCGCTGAGCTTAAATCCTTAAACCAGCTTAGGACTGCAAAGAAGAAGCAAGAGGGTTGTATTCATCCCCAACAATATACCGGTTTGGAAAGCCTGGACTGCGGAGTCAGAAATTTCCAACTGATCCTTTCCTGACATCCAACATAAACAAGCTCTTCTGCCTCATTGGGGAACACTGGCTATCTGCCCCCGCATGGGGAACACGGCCTACCTTCTGCCATGGCATTAGTCCTGGACTTTAAAGCCCAAATAAAGTCCAACACCTTTTTGTCTCGTTAAACTCTTATTCCCCCACATGCCAATTGTTTTACTAACAAATGCATTCAAATACCATATTCCCTTAATGAAGATGCTGCTTTCCGCCCACCCATTGCAGTGCTCTATGCTGGCAGCACTGAGTAACACAAGCGTGTTCTCAGAGGAGGGGAGGGGGTATGTCTGATCAGTTCTGTAGTGCCTATTAAACTGCACAGTCATATTAGGACAACCCGTAAGGCTGCTGTAACAGGAAAGTGAAGGCAAAGACTATAATATAAGGTCTATCTGGCAAATCTCTTTATGTGGCTTCATTTGGGCTTTGAGCTTGTCTAAACACATCACACAAATGATAGAAGCCCGAATGTGATCTGCAAGTTGTCAAGTGGGCTTTATTCATAATCATACAAGTACACAATGGCTGATCATCAACCAACAGACCTTTAAGAAAAGTCTACTTACAGCTACAATTCTGTCATTAACCTGAATGCATCCACTCTGGTCCGCAGCACTGCCCGGTATGACCCCCTTCACAAAAATACCTGAAGAGCCTGAAAAGTAGATAGGAAAATAATGAGCTTTAAAAAGGTCCATCAAACGCCATTAAACAAAGGACAGTCCACAGTTGAGTAGAAATGGTGATGCCTTATGACTAAAATGTTGTAATGCAACTTTTTTTTTTAACTTAAAGTGTACCTAAAAAAACTAAAATATATTGTAGCCTACCAGTCCTGGCTGCACCTGCGCAATACAGCCCCACAGACAACTGTTCAACCATCTTCAGAGTATGCATCTCTGGAGGAGGAAGGTGAGTTATGTTAGATCAGGGGAAACCTGATCAGTTAGGTCAGAGGGGAGCTCGGATGTGAGAGGAGGGGAGCTCGGATGTGAGAGGAGGGGAGCTCGGATGTGAGAGGAGGGGAGCTCGGATGTGAGAGGAGGGGAACTCCAAGTCCTAATTTATTTATTTTTGCTTGTGGTTAAAGCCATACCAGACCCCTGTCTAGGATACATATATGATTTTCACATTTTAGACTGGGGTGCCTTGACTGAAAAAAGGTTGAGAAATACAGGGTTTGGGTCATGGCAGGGGGCAAAAAGGATAAATGCACTTTGACTTTTAAGTGTGTTTATTCTTTAAAGAAAAAGAAAAAAAGGAAACTAATGCTGCCACCACATCAAGTATATCACTGGCATATGGTTTAACATGGAACCTCTACACAAGCAATTTTAATTAGTTCTGGATAGAATAAGGAAGGGTTAGTTCCCCAGTGTGTCATGAATACCTTTGGTGGGCCAAACCTTCATTATAGGTGGGACACTGCAAGGGTTGGGAGTTCTGTGCCACACTGCAATGTGGGAAAACATGCCCCCTCTAGTCTTACAGCTTTTATGGTTGTATGTATTGCATTGGACATTTTGGTTAAGCTGTCAGTGCAGGTCAGACATTGGGCAAGACCTATTAAAACAGGTGGCAATGCAAAGACTGACACAGTGGTGTAAAATGTGGGAGCCACTGCTGTATCAAATACTGCCAAGCACTATAGAAAGTGTGCTGGTCCAAGGTTGGGACTGTCCATTTCCACTGGCTCCACTGGGCAGTTTACACCCTAGTTGGATAGCGTCTCTCAGAGAGTACAATGAATGCACTTTACAAAAGGGGGCAGAGCAGAGAAGATGATGTATAAGACTGGAGAACCACATGGGAAAAGGAAACAAATGGAAAAGTAATCAGCCACAGCAAGTAACTATAGCAACGTTGGCAGTCCATAATGTAGTTGCCCATCAAATTATTTACTTAAGTGTATGATTTTGGGCAGTATTCATAAACTGCAAAAAAAAAAAAACTGAAGTGATGGTGATGTGTGACTGACAAAGGCTTAAGACATGGTCTATGTGTAAGGCCCCATTCACACTGAGCGACATGAAAATCGCGCTATTTTCCACGCGATTTTATATGAGCGATATTGAGCGACTTGTCGCGCGTCTTTTTCCTATTGGGCTGTATGCAATCAGGAGCAAAATCACTTGAAAACGCTCGAAAAAAGGGTCATGTAGGAGCGTCAAGCTACAGCGACGAGCTACAAGCAATATTGAGCGACGAGATGTGAACAGCTCCATTGAAATGGATTGGAGAAGCTACATAGAGCGCTATCGCGTGGAAATATGAGCGATATCGCTGCAAAAATCGCGCGATAAATCGCTCAGTGTGAATGGGGCCTAAGAGTGACAGGTGCTCTTCTGTAGATTTATTGAAGAACAAATATAATCTTAGTGGATATGTTCTATGAAGAATCCATCTGCCAGATTGGAATGGAGGGTGAAGGTAACACTCAAGGACAATAGACACTTATGTATTATCATGCAGCAGCAACGAGTATGATACACAGGGGTAATAAGGGGCCATGCACTGGATTGACTCAATCAGGCAGTGGAGGGGACACCCACATACCTGCTCAAATACTGTGCACTGAAGTCTTATCATTGGTTCGAATTAAAGAGATAAAATAAAAAAGAATCTGAATATTGATAGAAGTACAATGTTAATAAACAGAAAAATACTAAACACAACACTTGTAATTTAGTTTTAGCTGGAGGCCAGTTAGGAAACCTAATGCAAAATGTACACAGCTTCTCGGTCCACTTGGGAAGATTTGCCCCAGTAAAGCACAGCTACACAAAACCAAGCTTCCAACTCAAAACCCTACAGACCTCAAGGGGAAATCATTCTGCATATAGCCAGACACAAGGGTATTGGGAGGGACACTGTTCTCTGAGACATCTCCCTGCACATTGGACAGAAGAAATTATGTTCATTCACTGTCCAAGCAGCTTGGGGGTGGAACGGTGACAGAGGTAACTGCAAAAGTGAACCAGGAGACAAAAGTGTCACCTGCCTGACCATAGAGTGTAGCAGAGGTTTGTAAATGGAAAGATAGCGGAACAGAAGGACAACATCTAAGGCAAGTAAAAAAAACACTTTGAGGGGAAGTTATCAAAACTGGAGCAGATGTGCATGGCAACCAATCAGCTTCTCGCATTAGTTTGTTCAGTTAAGATTTAAAAATGAAAGAGAGAAGGTGATTGATTACCATGCACAGCTGCTCCAGATTTTGTCTGCTCCAGTTTTGATAAGAGCCCCCATTTGTGTATATGGATTTTAACTAAGTAGGTTAGGGTTAGTAGTAGGCTTTGTCTTCAGTTCTATATGAACAAAAATAAAAAAATCTCTTTATACTGTACTTCCTCCGGTCAGAGCAGGGAACGAGCATTTGTCCAGGATTGAGCGGTGCTCACGTAATGAACTGTCCATAATTAATAGTCCTGGAGTACTGCGAGCCCAGCATAAGTGATGATGCACCTCTAGGGCCATGTACACAACAGGCTGTGCGGACAGGTCATGGCCAACATTACATTATTGTTGATTTGGCCAAAGAGGACTGCCAGCTCTGGACTGAGGAGGAAGCTGGGGGCAGTGCTGGAGCATAGAACTTGGATTTTATTTTTTATGTTTAAACACAAGACAAAGGGGAAGGGGGGGTAATAATTTTAGATTACAAACATACAGCTGGAGTTACATTTTCAGGAACCAGCTTGTAATTCAGGCTTAGTGTTCTTTAAGCATCCATCTTGTGTTTTAATTTTTATTACTAACTCCTCACCTCCGCTGTTTGAACCGGTGTATCCAATGATGGTAATTCCAAGACTCTGGCCTTCCTTCTTAGTAAGTGCGACATCATACAGATTACCATCCGGACTATCCTAAAATATGAAAGCAAGCCAGTTAACACACACACACACATTCAAGACAATAGACCTGATCCGGTGACAGCAGAATGAATAAAATTAACATTTTTTAAAAGGGTATTTTTTTGGTGGATGTACCATATGGAGCAAACCACACACACTGCAATCTGACATCTATCTCATCTATCTAAAGAAACAAACCTTTTTTATTGACACAGATTAAGAAATAGTTAAAACCCGTTGTAATGTTTTTCTGTTGGCGAGATTTCCCTTTACTTCCTGTCTTGAAGACAACAGAAGAGAGGAAACCACTCCAAAAAGTCAGGGAAATCTCTTAGACAGTTGTCACCAGACAAGGGGACTCATTGGAAGATTTAAATTCACCTCCTGTTCTGGTAACACAACATTTTAAAACCAGGACAAAAATAGAGGGTGAATCTATACCCAGCGAGGACACGGGTGACAAAAACCTGAAAGGGGTCCTAACATTATGCCACTCTATCCAAAATGAAAGTGACAATTAAGGAGCCAAATCTAAAAAAATAAATTCAAGCACCTTAACTATTAACAACAATGTCTCTTCTGTGTGTATCACTCGGCTGTAGATCCTCCAATCATCTCTGAATTGTCCCTCCTTCTGGAGGGGGGCTACTTATTTTCCCCATGGTCACTGTGTGTGTTGTAAAGTAGTCACCGCCCCAAGCTCACTCCCGGGATGGACTACAATCTCAGTGCAAAATAGCACACTAAACATGAGATTGTAGTCCATCCCGGGAGTGAGCTTGGAGTGGTGACTATTTTACAACACACACAGGGACCATGGGGAACAAAAGTAGCCCCCCTCCAGAAGGAAGGACAGTGTCAGCACCAATTCAGAGAATATTGGAGGATCTACAGCCGAGTGATACACAAATAAGATACATTGTTGTCAATAGTTGGGGTACTTGAATGCATTTTTAAGATCCAACTCTTGAGTTTAGCGTCACGTTAAGTGCTATTCTGTATAGTAGTACTGCGAGCCCTTGGCCAGCATGGTGATGCACCCCCCAGGTGGCGGATCCATGACAGTCTGGGCTCACAGGAAGTGGGTTGAATGACTCTGAGTTTCATTTATCAATGAAGAGGATCACTGATGGCCATCTGAGTATTACAGCACAATAAGATTTTTGTGTTATAAGTGCTGTATCAGAAAAGTGCAGGTCTGATTTAATCCATCTATTCTGGTCAACTAACAAACATAGGCCTTGGAATTGTAATCATAAGGTTCTAATACTCACAGTGTGGACATTCCTCACCTCCGAAGGAGGCACTGACCCCACTGGCAACGTGGCTGGAGCAGGTGGAGGTGAAGGTCTCATGGGAGTCTTTCCAACAGGATCTCGAGCCACAACCATCCGGACAGAATTTCCACAATTCCTTAACACCTGGGCTACCTGATCGCTGGCCATTCCTTGGACATTGGTATCTCCAATTTTCAAGATATGATCTCCGGTCTTTAATCTTCCATCCTACAAATTGAACACCCAGAACAATGTTACTATGTAGGAAAGATAAATGAAAAAAAACTGACATGCCAGTGTGATTTCTCAAGTCAAAAACAACCTGTAGCAACATAGTAACCAGAGATTACATACTGTATCTCAACTGTAGAATTTGTTGTTTACTTTATAACATTTTCTTAATAAACGTCTAAATTTTCAGGTGCATTACCAGTCTGTATTGAATGGATAGGCTTCATTCTCAGTGATGTCACTGGTCTCTAGTGAATGGATAGGCTGCATTCTAAGTGATGTCACCTCTCTCCATTGGATGGATAGGCTGCATTTTCTGTGGTGTCACTGGACTCTAGTGAAGGGATAGGCTGCATTCTCAGTGATGTCACCGGTCTCTAGTGAAGGGATAGGCTGCATTCTAAGTGATGTCACCGGTCTCTAGTGAAGGGATAGGCTGCATTCTCAGTGATGTCACTGGTCTCTAGTGAACGGATAGGCCGCACTCTCAGTGATGTCACCGGTCTCCAGTGAATGGATGGGCTGCATTCTCAGTGATGTCACCGGTCGTTAGTGGATGAATAGGATGCATTCTCAGTGATGTCACCTGTCCATAGTGAATGGATAGGTTGCATTCTCAGAGAGGTCACCGGTCTCTAGTGAATGGATAGGCTGCATTCTCAGAGAGGTCACCGTTCTCTAGTGAATGGATAGGCTGCATTCTCAGTGATGTCACCGGTCTCCAGTGAATGGATAGACCACACTCTCAGTGATGTCACCGGTCTCTAGTGAATGGATAGGCTGCATTCTCAGAGAGGTCACCGTTCTCTAGTGAATGGATAGGCTGAATTCTCAGAGACGAACAATTAGGAGGCTAAAAGAAAAAAATTATCTGCAAAAGCTCCAATCGGCCAACAGGTACACTTTAAGACATATTTAATCACAGCAGATTTCCTTGCTGCCTCAAAAGGAGCAGCTGAAATTTCTTTAATAAGCTGTCCTGGATGGATTTTTAGCACCAATATACATATTTACAGCAGTTTTGAGAGGATACTTTGACATTCGTTATAAGCAATGGGTTTTACTTAATGAAGACATTGTAAAATACATAAAATATATTATTACCGAGATTAATAGAGGGTTTTATTTAACATGAGTGCAGGAGAAATTAGCCTTTTTCCCTCTCCCCTCATGTTTTCACTTAATTGCATCCAGTTTTCAAGCTCTCAGTTTGCAGCTGCTTAAATGCCTTATGTATCTCCCGAGTTAAATTGATGAGATCTATTTATTTTTGCAATTAACCAGCCATAAAGCCCTTTAAATTCCAGAAACGGGCCTCTCCATCCAGATAGTATATGGTCACAATTACAGACGATGTATTTTAAATTAAAAAGGCAAAAGGTCCTGGAGTGAGATGTGGATGGTTGGAGGGAATAAGAGTACACAGGACAAAGTCGGTTGTATATCACCCGGTGCTGTATGAGAACTTTTGTTATTTTCAAGGCAATGTACATTTTTTAAAAGTTCCTAAAGTGAACCTGTCATTTAGCTATTACCTTTAAGAGGTTGCTCACACCAGCTGTGGTGACTGGCGTGTTAGCACTCCCATCACCACAAGGACACACAGAAAACAACGGTTAACAATGTGTAACTATATTGGCAGAGCACAAAGTGTGCACTCTATTCAGGTCTCTGTACAACTGAGGTGCCATGCAGTGCGCTGCTGAATAATGCAACATGTCTGCACTTTTCTGCATGGCACATGACACCGCAATGCTGTGCGGGGAAAATTCAGACATGCTGCCTTTTGCAGCTGGCCATACGCGTGTTCATTTCATAGGGCAATCAAACTTATTGATACCATTTTTGCTGATATTGCAAAGTTAGCCAAAAAAAAACAAACAGAAAATAGTGATTTGTATCAACCACGAAAAAAAAAGATTGGAAATCAAACTTGATGGAAAAATTTGATCACTTTTCACACAATTTATTTCAGCTTTTGATTTGATCATTAAAGAAAATGTATTCAGGCGGTCCAGTTTTCACTTCCAAGTTGATCAAATCTGAACTTGTAAGTGATTGCTTAGTTACTGGTGATTATTGCAATCACATGTGCAATTCCAGATGCATGGAAAGTGATTGAAATTGACTAAAAATTGCCACACATATGGCCAAGTATAGTGCATTTTTAGGGCCCGTTCACACCAGATGCAGTGCGTCCCGGCCCGATTCTGGCCTAGAATGCACTGCATCGCATTGTGGCCAACTCACTTTTTTGTGGGGCAGGAAGGGGCATGGCGGGCCACTGAAGTGAATGACACCGTAGCCATACCCTCCGGTCGCAATGCGAAAGGCCGCACGTGATCGCAAGGCACATTATGCCTGCGGTCCGGTGCGATCAAAATAGTGCAGCATTTGGATCGGACCGGACCAGAGGCATAATGTGCCTTGTGATCCCGTGCGGCCGATCGCATTGCGTGGCTACGGTGCCATTCACTTCAATGCCCTTAGCGAGTAAATAATTTGACTTTACCTGATGCAACTTTTCCAGTTTGGTAAGCTGTTCCCTGATGTGACTTTTCCAGTCTGACAAGCTTTGCCTTCCATTGCATTTTAGTAATTGTAGAGATGACATAGATAATCTACTAGGGCAAGGGTAGGGTAACTGCTACAATGACTTTACCGAACTGGTTATTAACTGCTAAGGTACAGAATGTGGAGCAGTTGCCCATGGCAGCTTCTATCTTTAATTTTTAACCCTTAAGGGCTCTCCAGTGCGTTGCAGCATACATTAGTGGCCTGAACGGCACTGGATTGCATAATTAAGTTCTGGGGCATTCAAGTCAATGGCACTGCAGCCACCCCTCAGTGCGATCGCCCGCACCAGAACGCGTGGCACAGCAATGCCCATGGTACAATTGCCAAAAATAGTGCGTGCACTGTTTTTTGTAATCGTACTGCAGGTATTGCCATGCCACGCGTTCTGGTGCAGGCAATCGCGCTGCAGGGCGAGAGGCGTGGCTGTGGTGCCATTGACTTGAATGCCCCCTCCCGCCCCAGAACGCAGGGAGGCTTAAATATGGGATCCAGTGCGTTCTGGCCACTAGCCGTGCTGGAAAGCATTGGTTTCTCCCATGCAGCCCCCCAAAAAACATGATAATTTATATATAATTTATATAATACCATTACTCAGGAAAACAGAAAAATCTGCTAACGATCCTTAAATCATTAGTGTGATCGCTGGCGCAGATATATTTCGGTGTACGAAGTTTAAATCATCGTAATGATATTGGCTGTATTACCCATTCCACAGAACGAGGAGATAAATTACCTGATCAGCCAGTCCTCCGGTTAAGATCGTTTTGACAATTACCCCGCTGGCTTTTCCGCCAACAATCCCGAACCCTAATCCCGAGCCGTCGTTAATGAGTTCAATTTCTTCCACGTGGCCCCAACACATCTGCAAGGCAAACACACACACAAAAAAAAAAAATCAATCTCATGAACTTTCAACTAATACATCAACAGGACACACACAGCAGAGCTCAGATCATTCAGAATGTTACATGGATTTTCCTACTCTGTGCCGCGTCAGCAGACTAGATGTTGGAGTATAACTGGGTCTGATCTGCCTGGAAGGGTTTTGTGGGAAAGAGTCGCTCTTCCATATGGCTCCCATTACACTGAACATTAGCAGTTGCCTATTGTATTAATTGCTTATATTTAACGTATACATATGCTGTACATCTACAGAGCACATGGAGTGTGTGTGCACATGGGGGATTCTTATCCTCAACATGTTGACCTAATTTTCCTTGATTGAATCAATTAGTTTAAACACTCGGCACATATAGAATCTTACCGACTGGAATCTAAACCAGACAGATATAAAAGACACCAATTAATCCAGCTCTGTATTCATTACCACACTAACAAATGTTTTTGAATGGAAACAGTGTAAATACCAAAATGTGACTTGATACCTGCCTCTTGCAGCCCCTGTACAGAAGAGATCAGAATGCAAGAGGAAAAAGCCACGCAAGGAGTCAATCAGTTCATGTACTGACAAGGAACATGCTGACAGAAGGATGAAGCAGAGTGGTGGAGAGGTGAGCTTATTACTGTGCTGATATGCTGGGAAGCAGCACAAGGAGCCAATCAGTTGTGATGCCGGGTCATGTGCTAACAAGGGACATGCTGATAGGAGAGAAAAGAGTGAGACACATAGGCTCCTCAGTCTGCTGCTTCCCCTTTCCACTGTCCAGTCACAGGCTGGGGGAAGGCCACAACCTCTAAGGCCTCATTCACACCAGAGACTGTGCGTTCCGGTCAGATTCTGGCCAGGAGCGCCCTGCATCGCATTGCGGCCAGCACAGTATGTTGTGTGGCAGGAGGGGGCGTGGGGGTCCATTGCAGTGAATGGCACCATAGCCACGCCCTCCGGCCGCAATGCGATTGGCCACACGGTAACACAAGGCACATTACGCCTGCAGTCCGAACAAAATATTGCTTGCAGCGTTTTGTTCGTACCAGACCACAGGCATAATGTGCCTTGCGTATCGCATTGCAGCCGTAGGGCGTGGCTATGGTGCCATTCACTTCAAGGGACCGCCACACCCCCTCCTGCCCCACATTATACTAAGTGGCCACAATTGGGCCGGAACGCACTGTGTCTGGTGTGAATAAGGCCTGAGCCACCGTTCACACTGAGCGGTTTATTGCGCAAATTTCCGCTCCAAAATCGCGCATATTTCCGTGAGATATCGCACTATGTAGTTAGTCCAATGCATTTCAATGGAGCTGTTTATATCTTACAGCTCAATGTCGCCTGTAGCTTGTACATGACCCTTTTTTGCACGATTTTGCTCGATTGATTACAGCCCATTATGAAAAGTCGTGCGACCTAGCGCGACAAGTCGCGCAATATCGTGGAGAAACACGCTATTATCCATGTCGCTCAGTGTGAATGGGGACTAAGTGTTACGTGACTGCAGCAGAGAAAAATTAGGTCTCCTCCCCTGCCAGACAGGACAGTACTTTGTGGCAGAACTGTGTAACTCTCAGAACTGAATCAACAGAAATACACATTTGTTAGCAGGTAAAACAGCTATTTGCATTTGTTGGCTTGAACTTCAGCTTCAGGTCCTAAGTCAACAAACCTGCTTTGACCATTGGGCACTTCTGTGACCATAGATAATTAATTGATGTGTATTTAATTCACAACTGACCTCCTTTTGATCTACATTGGACATGCTTCAAGCTGCTTTTGCATTCTCATAGACTTGAATGGGGGAAAAAGCAGTTCCAATTCAAGTGAAAGCCCTTTGGCAAAGGCTCATAAGGTGGCCATAGACAGCCAGATCTCACAGCCATCCAACATAAAGTAGTGGTTGTCAAATTACAAGGTGTAAAGGGCCTCAACTGTGGCCCCTGACAGCTCCAAAGGGCCGCACATAAAATTCAGTTTATGACAGAAGACTATCAGAGACTCCAGACATACTAGAGGAGACAATCAGAGACTGCAGACATGCATGAAGGGTGGTTGGAGACTAAACACACACTAGAGTAGTTGGTCAGAGACTGGGGACATGCTGCATGGGACTTCCAAAAGATCATGGTCATTATTGTCTTTTTTACAACTGAAAGCTTCCACTACTGACTGCTAAACTCTCTAAAAAGGGCCCCATAACGAGTACCAAAAGGCAGCAAAAAGGACCATAAGGGAATATAAAAATACTTTTGTTTGATACAAAACTAACTCTGTAAACGTACCCTAACCCTCCTTTGACCTGCATTACTCTGAAGGAAGACAACTTACTTGCTCATTCATCTGGTTAGTTTGGCTCTGAGTAGTAATGGGCGCCGGCAGTTTAGCTACCACCAAGTGTAAGAATCCAGAAGACTGCTGGAGCAGAGATATGGCCTCTTGGTGGGAGACGGTTACGTCCAATGGGGTGTAATTAATTGCCAGGATCTGGTCATTTTCCTTAAGACGTCCATCCCTGAAAGACATCAACATTGGTATGAGGCATTTTTCCAACCAACACATTGATAAGGGCAGATGTTTCCTACATTGTAGAGAACATCTCCATATTGCATGAATGCTTAGAAAATGAGGCTTTAAAAAGGACCAGCCGCTAGTAAGCTTAGACAATAATTCAGACATTCACTATAAAAGAACTGTACTATTTATGCTTACTTATGGAAGGATATTAGCGGTCATCTCATTTAGCTTTGCTTACTTCACACAAGGACAATTGTGGAGCTGAGACACATAGCTGAGAAGTCCTCTGATGTATGGCCAGTGGTGTCATGTCACCTGCTTGACCCCGTGCTAATAACGCACACCATCTCAACTTCTGAGTGAACATGACAGTATTAAGGCTGAACTCTATCTCTTTTTTTTTTATGTAATGCTGCTCTTCTGGGTTGAACCATTTAACCCACTTTCTGGAAGGCCAGGATGTCACTGACCCACCCGCTGGGTAATCGTCATCACATTTTATTTTTGGAGTTCTACTATGCATAATAAAGCCTCTCTGTTGACACCTTACCGTTGGCCCTTTAAGGGGTGCTCAACGCCTGTGACAGGCTGGCTTCCTGCTCAGCAATCTCATCGAAAAAAATATATTAAAATTTACCCATCCTTAAAGCCAATGAGACAAACGTCTAGTACACAGTTCACAAAAACAGAAACAAACTTCTTTTCCCAGTTCTTGCTCCAGATTCTTCAGAGCCACATTGCAGCATCTGGTATCGATGACCGGTGTGAACTGCACCGGCCTTGTTCGACCCAACACATCATTACCGATGATACAAAAACAGCCATTGCCCAAAAATCGAATTTCTCACTCCCTCAACATGACCCCTTCTGTTATCTCCCCACCCACATGTTTTCCATGATACGGATGGCTGAAATTGTTGGAAATTCAAGTCTAACTCTGTGCAGTTACAAAATCTATTCCCCAACCCCTGACCCTCAAACCACCTCCCTACTTACCTGAATTGTGGGGTGCTTCTGCTTACAGATATCTGTTAATATTTGAATTCAGCATGACCCAACCGCACAACCAGGGATCTGTGAATGAAAAAACGGCAAGTCCCATCTGCCACCACGGCAGAGGGACTCCCAGATTGTGCCCGCACCAGTGCAGTGATGTCACCACATTTGCAGTCTACTGATTACTCTCTCAAGCCCCATAACAGAAGACTACTCCCTCGAGCCCCATAACAGAAGACATTTATCCGAGTACGGACTTGGGCACTGCACCCACTAAGCACTGAACACAGTTGCAATGCTCTGCAGAGTTGATTGCAAACATTTAATAAAAGGCATATGACTACAAAATCCCCCCTACAACTGATAAAATACATTGTTATTTAAGGGATGAGAGAACACGCATAATTATTTACCTTAATCCAGGATCCCAGGATTAAGTCTTTCTCCTTGCCGGTTCCATTGCTGAGAACCAGTCCCCCCAAAGCTGCTTCCACAGGTCTTGTCACCACCCCACATGCCAATTTCATCACGTATAATGCTAGACCAGTGGCCACCGCTGTTGCTGCATTGTTAATGAAGTAGCAGTGCCCATCCACATTCAGAGAAGAGGACAACAGATGGCCGATAGGAACGGCAGGTTAATTTAAGTATTAGCATTTGTGTCAATGGCCTCAGTTTGACATCACTGTGAGACCCTTCTGGAATCATTCCGAATTCATTGACAGGTGCACTTGACCTGCAGGTGACCTCCTTCTGATCTGCGTTTGACCTGGCGAAAAGTGGATTTTGGGTTCCACTAGACCTGCATGGGACTGCAACACCCATTGAAGCAAGCAATAGCCCAATGTCAAGGAAACTAAAAGCTGCCATACACGGCCAAGGATGTCGAACGGGAGGCCGTCAACAAGGCCACCCAGAGTGTATGGCCAGCTTTGCTCTGTTGTCTCATCCTCTAAAAAAAATGAGCAATAGATTTTTTTATCAGCTGGAGGGGGAATTTTTTATCATCCTGGAATTAGTTGGAGTTCAGCTTAATGGTGAACCCATGAGTAATAGGGGGTTGCCATAGCTGAACTCTATCTACAAATGCTAGCTTCCTGGCTGTTACCCTGAGCTACACAAATCAGGAAGGTCAGAGAAACTAGAAATCCTTGTCTGCTGGCTGGTTCTGGATTAGCGACAAAGCATTGAAGCCAAAGAATTCACATGAAAGTCAGGCAACTAGCATTTTCAAGATGACAATTCAGGAAACGTTTCCTTTAAAATAAATGTAAACCCAAATCAATATAAATCAGACATTATTTCAGTTATTTTCATTCTTTTTTTAAATCTGCAGTTTTAATTAAAATAATCCCTGGTCCCATCGCCCGTACCTGGTTCCCCTGGATGGAATACATTCGGTCCCCTGACTACCTCACCCTCAGATAGGAGACTGCCAACCTGCGCAGGATGGGGAAATTGCCCCTCACTTCCTTTCAACTTGCTTACCTTCCTCATCTCTCTATTGTACTACCACCTATCCCCTCCCCGCTACCTAGCAATGTCATCCCACCCCGACTGCATCTCCCACCTCTCTCCCCCGCTACCTACCTCCCTACTCACCCACCCGATTCATACTCACCCGCATACCACGGTGACATCCCGAACAATACAGTTTTAAGTACGACATTGGCTACTCATACGACCGAAAGGATATCATATCACCTATTGATTGAGGACTACCCCCCTCCCTTGTTATCTTTGGATTAGCGGATACTCTTACCAGCACCTTTAATATTCCCCTTAATGCCCCCCACCGCGCAAAATCCTGGACACTGGCCATGCCAAGCATGGGGGTATTATCACTTCCTATCTGATTCAATAACTCAAATGTTTTCTATACGTTTGTAATACAACTGCTGTATTTTCTTGCCGTTAGCCCTGTGAGGGCAAATACCTGTCATACACGCATTTGCTTTTCCTTTCTGTGAATCCTGCAAAAACTTTTAAATAAAGAATTTATAAAAAAAAAAATAATCCCTGGTGATCCGGCCATAAGAGTGCTCATTCAGCCTCTCCCTGCTACTGGGTGGCAATGCTTTGTCCCCCATCTCCTCATTGCCCTTCTGCATTGTCACCCTGTAGCATGGGCTTCTAATGGAGACTACATGCAGCCATTTCTACACACATTACACAGGCATTGTTCACTGTTGTCACCATAAAGAATGACACCCTGGAAGATGCCGTGCAGCCATCACTGGAGTGCATGTAGGCAGAAAGTGACTGCAAAGAGGAAATCAAGAAGAGCAAAATTTAATAAAGAAGGGAAAAAGGTTACAAAAAAAAAGCATTTTATCCAAGCAAGGATGGCCATTGTTTATGATTCACAGGGCTTCAGCAAACTAAATTCAGCTAGGGTTTACATCTACTTTAAGGGCTCCTACTATGTCACATTAACAGAAAGCAGAATATTCCTGACATAGAAACAAAATGTGCCCCTTACCTGTCTGCAATGCTTCCCGCTTGCACTCCTTTGATAAACACACCGGCATCTCCCCCACCGCCATTTTTCAGCGCCACCACACTAAAACCGAGGCCTCCGACAGTAGGCTTTTCTATATCTATATATTCAATTTGCCGACCCTAATGCAAAAAAAAGAAAAAAAAACAACAAATAGAATTTTGATTTGTTAGGCCGCAGTCTCTGCCAACGAGCTCAATTTGCTCCGGAGGGACCGGGGAACTCTGAGAAATTTATATCCTGTAAGACAGGACAAGCTCAGCACTTTGATAATAAATTAATTCTGCCCAAGATCTCACTCCATTACTTCCCAGTGAAAACAGAGAACAGCACATGCCGTCAGCTCCGTGACGGAAAACCTCGGGGAGTTTCAGAACTATTTTCACACTTCATTCTCCAGCTAAATAAGTTGTACGTCGGGACCCGGCTTAAATGAAGACTGAACTAACTGCTGTTTGGCAAAAGCAAAATTTTAAGATTTTTTTTTTCTCCCCCACCTAGACGACCAACACATTTTTCTTTAAAACAAATTCCACTGAAAAGAGCGCTTCATATGTGAAGAATTTTAATTGGCGGTGCAAATGACCAAAAGAAACACGACAAGAGAAAAGAAGTCTGTCAGCAGTTTTTGCTCCTGTGGTGCCAACGTTCTCATGGGCCTACCGCAGTTACAAACAAGGACTTACTGGGCTGGTTTAAATGACTGAACAGGCAACACCATTATGGAAACTGGGCCAGAGAAGGTCCACTCTACTTAGATTTAAATTTGAATCCAAGGCACATGGACACAACTCTATTTCTTAAACCTCAATCGTATGATACATTTTAACCCCTGCCCACTATCTAATCCCTAGAATAAAAAAAATAAATAAACCTTTTTTACTTACCTTAAGCTGTGGTCATGTGACCATGGCCGGATTTACTCTCTCTGCTGACCCAATGCCAGGTTCCTCAATGCGCCCCCCCAGTATGCAGGCTGCATACAAGTGATCTCGGTGACATCGCCAGATCACTTGTACAAAACAAGCGGCGGCTTCCCTGCTGTACATTTAGCCCTGCTTGCCCAAAGTACCCGCCCAGGCATCTGGAGATAGGAATTCCACACCTCTGCTGCCCCTCTACTCCCTGCTGCCCCTAGACCGGGCCTTGGTTGGCCTTGTGAGAAATCCGGCCCGGCTGACAACACAGTCACGATTCTTCTCCTCTTCAGTTTACTTCCTGCTTGGGTCCTTCTTTGAGTGTCCATGTCTGCACTCGCATGACATGGACACTTCCTATTGGATGTCAATTGGCCAGGGTCCTCTCAGGAGGGGAGTGAAGGGGAAAAGCGGTCTCAGGCAACATTGAACCACTGGAGTTGCGGTCCCCTTACCAGGAAACGACGGTGGCGAGGTACCCAAAAGGGGGAACATAGGTGAGTATATCTGACTTCACAAAGTGAGGAGAAAAAAAAAGGACTAGTAGTTAGGAGGTGGGTGGAAGGGAGGGGGTGGGAAAAAAAATCATTTTTGAGTTGGACTTTAATACATCATTAAAGTAAAAGGAAAGGAGGGATGCACCGATACCGGTTTTTCGTTATCGAGTGCGAGTACTGATATTTAGCTTTCAGTACTCGCCGATAACAAGTACCGATATCGGTACTTCCGCTAGCATGGAGACGGCTTCCCGGGCAATCATGAAGCCGGGCGTCATGTCATTGCCAATTGGCAAGAAAGCAGGCTCCATGCCGATTGGCCAGAAAGCCAGCTTCCCAGCCAATAAGCATCGAGCCGGGTCTCCTTTGGGTCCTCTGTCTTTCGCCTCGCCCCCCGAGGCGATAGTAGGCCATCTTCAATATGGCAGAGAGCAGTTCTGATGTTATAACATCAACACGGCTCTCTGCAGTATTGTACTGTGAGCCCAAGCCAAACCTCTCGGCGGGGTGTCCATGGCAGCTGGGGCGCACAGGAAGTGGGGTAAATGAGGGATGTTGTGGGAGTAAAGTTTTCGTGGAAATGGCGCTGGGGACAAGCTAAATATTTTTATTTTTAAAACGCAAGCTTTAAAAGTAAAATCTGCTTTAAAGAATGTGCTGGCCTCTAAAGAAAGGCAGGAAAGTAGTTAAAACTGTTAATTGGTGACAGTTGGTCATTTCAACGGCTGCTCTTTTTTATTTTTTATTAGGCTCGCATTCTAGTTTTTCTTTTTTTTTTTAATAAAGATCGCATTCACAGAACAATAGAACTTGCATTGAACGTGTTGGAGAAAGCGTTCTGATGTCAGTGACCTACTTCAGCTGCGCAGACGGGCTTGCACTTACCGCGGCCATCTGCTGAATCTTCCTGTCGAATTCATCGGTTCCCTCGTTCTCCTGGTCGAGTCGCGACGTAACAAAGTTGTCAAAGGACAAAGAGTCCGTCTTGTTTCCCAAGTGGGCAGAAGAGTCTGCTTGAAATACCAATAAGCCTTTCTTGGTGAAATCAAATTCCGCAGAACGGTCAGCTGGCATGCGGTTCAGCTGGGAAAATGCAACAGAGCCAAATTAATTAAAAAATAATAAACCTAAAAAAATTAAATAGAAAAAAAAAAACTATGGTGCTGTATTTGGCCTAGAAAAGCATGAACATAAAGAGAACTTGTCAGTATAACTATTCAGAATCACAGCTGAGACTGCTGCTTCCTGGCTCCCAGAATCAGTGCTAGGTTAAAGAAGAACTCTATATATACACACATTAAAAAGGAGCATGTTTGTGAGTGGACTACGTTCTTAAAGTGCTACCATTTGAAGCCAATTCTCACTAATTATATATATATATATATATATATATATCTCAATCATCAGGTAAATAAATCTGCTTCATTTGAGCCCTCTGGACAAAATGAGCACTTAGCCCTAGCACTGCGTGGGTAGCCCCACTGCAAGGGTACGTTTTTTGTTTGCCCAGAGTTCTTCTTTAAAGGAGAGCTACTGGAAGAGTAAAATTTCCTGTTCCAAAGAGTTTGAGTCGACGTGTGACAATACAGCCGTCACATGCCGCCACTATAGATCGTGAACTGAGCAGTCACAAACCACTGATCGCTCAGCTCACAGCTTCTTCCTCCAGAGAGTGGTGACTGTCAGTCACCACTCCCCTCAGCGATTCTCCTCTCTCTATTCCTCCAGCATTTATTGGAGGGACACACAGGGGAGGGAGCGGGCACAGCTAGTTCTGGCTCTATAAAGGCAGTGCCAGCTGTCAATCAGGCAGTGGGGTGGATCCCAACAATATACTGCCTGCAGCATGGCTCTGGGCCATCAGCTTATAGGTAGCCTGCTAGTTGCTTACTTTGGGTCATACAAGTACATTAGTAAATATACTACTGTGACCCAAAAGAGAGCTAAAGTTTAAAAAAAAGCTTTGGCTATAGTTCTCTTTTAGGGCCCGTTCACACCAGACACAGTGCGTTCCGGTCCGATTCCAGATCGCATTGCGGCCGGCTCCGTTCGTTGTGGGACGGGAGAGGGCGTGCCAGTGCATTGACCTCAATGGCACCGTAGCCACGCCCTCTGTCCACAATGCGATCGGCCGCACGGGAACGCAAGGCGCATTTCAAGGACAGGTAGATAAGGCCGAAGGCAGAAGAGGGCGACCTCACAGTCTTTTTGGCAAGATCCTGGGAACACAAAATCTTGTGAGAGGATGTGTGGAGAGAGCCAGAGTAACTGCACTGAGAGCTCCCGCTAGTGGCTAATCTACAAATCTCAAATATTTAAAACAATAACAAAATTAAGTAACAGCAAGCTCTTAAAAATGTGAAGGTCACACAATACTTTAAAACCTAACTTAAGTCTATAAATGTTTCATCGCTTTATAGTCCTGTGTCCACATTGATTTGCGATTCATTTGTGCTAGGAAATTCCATTTAGTAAAAATGTTGCTTCCTGCCCCCACAGTGCAGTGTTCTGTGCTCGCATAGCTGAGTAACAGCCCCACCCTTCTACTAACATTTCAGAAGAAGAAGAAAGGGGGCATATCTTATACGGTCTATTGCTGAGCGCAGGAAACTCGGAGAAATGGGTCCGACTCTTTTACCTGTTGGACTGTACAGCTGTTGTAACATGAAAGAGGGGCATGGAGGTTGTGAATACAATATCTATCTGACTGTATATTGATTTCTGTATTTCCCTCAATTGGGCTTTATAGTGTATCTAAAGACATTTTTTTTCTTTTTGGGTAGAGTAGGAGTTAGAACCCCTGTCAGGTTTTATAACTGCTTGTCGTTTACCCTCTCTGTTTGTGTCGATGGCCACTGTCCCTGGGACTGAAAGGAAGAGAAAATCCAAAATGCTAAGTTATTAATTAAAACAGGAAAAAGAGGAGAAATCTTCCAATTGGAACACTTGTTCCAGTGACCAGGATTGACTTTACTTTTGAAATTTCCTCTCACTTCCTGTTGTCTCTGGAGGCAGGAACTACAAGTACAAGAAGGGACACAGACAGCAAAATAAAAAGCTGACAAGTTTAGCCATACCCTGCTATATCCAAACATTTAAAAAAAAAAAAACATTTATGTCTTTAGAAACGCTTTAAGATAACAACTGAAACAATCAAAGAACACCATTACGAGAACATGCGGCACTCACCTGCTCTTTCAGTTGTTTAATGGACTGCTGCACAGTCAGTATCTGATTAAACAGGGGGCTGGTCAGGGTGTCCCGCAAGATACAAATCTTCTCATGGTGGCTCAGGTCACCCTTATCATTCAGTTTCCTCTGTAGACGTTCGACAATCTGCAGCACTTGCTGCTTGTCAAAATTAGGAGTCCCTGAAACAGCACAGCAGTTATCCGAAATACTCTTTTTTTATTTACACCATATAAACCATGCAACAGAGCAAAACACGACTTACCTGTATCGAGAAACTCCGGCATCTTTAAACAAATGCGGCAGACTGATTACGTCAAATAAACTGGAAGCAAAAACAAGACTCAGCTCAGGATATGAAGAAAATAAGAACATTATAGTAATTTGGACGAGAGTCCATTAAAGTAAACCTGTATCAATAGAATAAAGAGGCCCCGACTGCTGACCTCTCCTGAAGATCTAGTTGCTTGGCTATTATGCTAATCCAAATGCTTAGTACTCTAAAGCATGGACCGGACAATGCAGATCAGTTTTGACTTCTCAATGACTTTCTTTTCAGTGTGGATGTGCAGATACATGAAAATAGGGTCCATGCACACTGCAACGATGTGCTCTACAAAGTGCAATGTGCGGTCACTAATCCAGGGCTGGACAATTCCCAGAAGCATAGTCAATGCATAAATTACAGCTGACAGGGGTGTCCCTAGTCTGTTTGCCACCCGGGAAGGGGGTGCTGGTGGTGCACGCAATCAGTATCATTTTTTTGTGCAGATGTCACATTACAGGTCCTCTTTAACCCCAGGTTTACCATGTAAATGAACATTAGAAAAACGATGAGGGGAATTTATCACAACTGGGGCAGACAAAATGTGGAGCAGTTGCTTATGGCAACCAATCAGTTTCTCTCCTCAGTTTGTTCAGTTGAGCTTTGGAAATGAAAAGTGGATGCTGATTGGTTGCCATGCACAGCTGCTCCAGATTTTGTGTGCTCCAGTTTTGATAAATCCACCGCAATATGTTCAAGTATTACTACAGATCAGCTTTAACTCTCTAGTATGTACCAAAAAGTGAAATATCAGTTTCCGATGAACTGACCCTTTGACTCAGCATAACATGAATAGTTTCCGAATAGATTAGTGGAACATTTATTTCTAAATTTAGACTCCCCAAAAGGGGAAACATCTCAGTGATGATAAAAATGAAAACTGTTGTAAATTTCTTCAAGGTGAACTCTGGTGGAATGTGTCTAAAATACTGCAGCAAGCACAGCTGGAATCTATTGGCTGCCTCGGAAATCGCACAGTCCAGAGTGTGGAATCTGGGAAAAAAAGAGTTCAGTAGGAATCTAAACAATTCAGACATTGCACCAAGTCTAAAAAAACTGATCAGTACCACAGAACTACCACAGAATGTTACCAAACCGAACGGCTCCATTTAAGGGGTCTTTGGTGGCCTCCATTGGTAACCAGTAGAGATTCCGCCATATACATTAATGTCCATGTTATTGTTTGCTGAATATTTTACTAACTATTGCTGCACATTTTTTGGAGCTCTATGTCAGAATTAGGAGGCCAAGTGCCTGACTATCCCTTTCTATCTATTTTTAACATTATTTGATACCAGATCTGCCTGATTTTACAAATTAAATCATAAACCAGAAGCATGGAAACTGTAACTGGTCACTTTCAATGGCCAACACCTCAATTTTCCTCTTTTTGCAGTTTTCGTATAACGGTGAAAGGATTTAAAACAGTGAGCAGACTTTGTTTTTAGACCGCTCAGAATTACTTATATTACATCACATCCCTCAAGTGGCTGGCGCTCTTCTTTGGATCTCTGGCTTGAGTCCCCACCAGTTCTGCAGCGAAATGGTGTTCTCCCCGTGTTCCTGTGAGTCTTCTCTAAAAGGTGCCCATACACCTTACAACCATTGCAAGACTTTTGTCTTGCGATGGTTGTAAGCTAATGAAAAGCTTGTACGATCTGCCCATCTTGGACAGGCAGATCGTACTTGTGATCATCGAAAGCCCGCCCCGCTGACCGCAATGCTGAACGGGCAGTGTGTGCGTGCGCACGCACACCGGCCCGCTCCGCAGTTGTCGAATGAGCAGGCCAGAAACCTGCCAACGATCGTACGATTCTCGGCTGTTTTTCTAGCATGCTGGTTCGACAAAAGACGTGCGACCGTACAGTAGAAACGGTCGCACGCCTTCCATACACCTTGCGATTATCGTACGATCATGGGATTTCCCGCGATTATTGTACGATAATCGCAAGGTGTATGGGCACCTTAACTGTTGTGCTTTCCAGCCACAGGCCTATAATCCGGTTAATTGGCTTCTGGGCAACTGGGACCTCTACTCTACATTTTTCAGTATGACTGGAGGGAGACATTAGATTGTAAACTTGGATGTTGGAGGTCCTCCAACAGAGGAAAAAAGATTTGGCAGAGCTTATATAAGATGACTGTAAAATCATCAGTGTGGCCTGGCAGTGGGGAAAGTGAATAGACTTGTGGGGTGCATCACCAGAGGGATCACCAGCAAGAGAAAAGTGGCCCTGATTCCACTATATACAGTAGATCTTTAGTTCTCAATGGAGAGGTTGCCAGCAGGAGGAAGGGGGTCCTGATTACCCATACAGCCCTTTAGTTATCACTAGAGGGTAGAGATGTTCAGATACAAGTTCCGATATATTGCATTTTCACGAGAACTACCAGGGTTGCAGCTGGGACCGGGCTCTGGTGCGCCACCACTGTCCTGAAATCATTAGTCTGTATTGTTTTAGAAAAACTGTCACATGACAAAACATTTTTTTTATCAGTACTGGTATCTGTGAGTACTTGGACAAATATCAGTACTTGTAAAAAGTTTACCGGTGCATCCCTAATATACATTTAAATTTTTTTTTTTTAATTATACCTTAAAACAGAGATGTACAAATCCCAGGAGCTCCGTGTGCTCCTTAAAAATGACAGCTGCCTCCTAACTTTTCATTTTTTCTCTAGTCTAGTCCTGGAGCGGGAAAAATATCTGTACCAAGTACAGTACTTGGTATCTGAACATCCATACTAGAGGGATCCCCAGCAGGAGGTCCTGATTCCTATATATAGATCTTTATTCATCACTAGAGGGATCCCCAGCAGGAGGAAGGAGGTCCTGATTCCTCTATATAGATCTTTAGTTATCACTAGAGGGGTCCCCAGCAGGAGGAAGAAGGTCCTGATCCCTCTATATAGATCTTTATTCATCACTAGAGAGAACTCCAGCAGGAGGAAGGAGGTCCTGATCCCTCTATATAGATCTTTATTATCACTAGAGGGATCCCCAGCAGAAGGAAGGAGGTCCTGATCCCTCTATATAGATCTTTATTATCACTAGAGGGATCCCCAGCAGGAGGAAGGAGGTCCTGATTCCTCTATATAGATCTTTATTATCACTAGAGGGGTCCCCAGCAGAAGGAAGGAGGTCCTGATTCCTCTATATAGATCTTTAGTTATCACTAGAGGAGTAACCAGCTGGAGGACAGAGGTCCAGATTCCTCTATTGAGATCCTTAGTTAGGCCTCATTTAGAATACTATGTCCAGTTCTGGAAACCGCACATACATTTTTTTAAAATATTTTTTTCTCTTCTATGTTCCTTCACGACTGGAACAGAAATTTACCCAAGTGGGCAAATTAAATATATATATTTTTATACACTTATAAGTACATATACACACAGATATTTAGCTGACTTCTTTGCAAGAGCAAAGCTTGCATCTTTAGTACATAAGTGCTTTTGCAGTAATATTTACTGGCAGTTACCTGTAGGGCCGATTCAGAAAGTGTGGCTTAATTTACTAAATTAATATAGTTTTTTTACTTTGCAAATAAATAGTCACTTAGGTTAGCTAATATACAAGTGAAATATTCACTTAGATTAGTGAAAAAAATACCAAATCACGTCCAAAGAAAAAATATCCCAAAACAAAAAACAAACATATTTTTACTTGCACGTGATCGGAAGTCAGCATGGGTTCACCTCATTCAATAAACTAACTCAAGCTTCCAACAGACAACAGCACCTGTTGTCACCCCAAGAGAAACCCTCCACAATCTTCGCATGTCTGTTGTATTTTGTCAGATAACGCCTCTTTGATCAACAGCCACTTGTATCAAAAACTAGGAAGTGATCTACCTGGCCGCACCTTACAACACAGACACACCATTCCTTTACTATGCATGATGCAAATAAGGTGCAGAGAAGTGAAAAGACAGAGAACACTGCAATGAATAGCACAGCCCTCCCAGGATGGAGGAACTATAATTCTCACCAAGGCCAGCCAGCACAGCTCGAAAAAAAAAGAGGGTTTTATATTGTCCTCTGCTGATTAACCTCAGCTGTCCTGGGACTTCCTGCTTGATCCCCGCCCCTTTGTTGTTACATTGTATCTCTAAAGGGTTTTACCACTTCCTACTGTGTTACATTGTACCTCTGATAGTTACATCACCTTCTACCACGTTACATTGTATCATTGGGTGTTCTGCCATTCTCTAATGTGGTAGATTGTACCTATGGAGGGTCTATCACTTCCTACTGTGTTACATTGTACTTCTGAGGGTTCTATCACTTCCTTTTTTATTATATTGTACTTCTGAGGATTCCATCACTTCCTACTGTGTTACATTGTAAATCTGATAGTTGTATCACCTTCTACCACGTTACATTGTATTATTGGGTGTTCTGACATTCTCTAATGCGCTAGATTCTACCTATGAAGGGTCCATCACTTACTTTGTTGCATTGTACGTCTGCGGGTTCTATCACTTCTTACATTGTACTTCTGAGGGTTCTATCACTTCCTACTTTGTTACATTGTACTTCTGAGGGTTATATCACTTCCTACTTTGTTATATTGTACTTCTGAGAATTCTATCACTTTCAAGTGTATTACCTTGTACTGCTGAGGGTTTTGTCCCTTCCTATTGTGTTACATTACATCACTGGTCGTTCTGCCACTTCCAGTTGTATTAGATTGTATCTCTGAGGGTTCTACTGTAATAATTAGTATAAAAAGCTTGCCTGCCAAATCCTACTGAGTTACTTTCAATCTTTGAGTATTTCTACTGTGGTACATTAACATTTTGGGTGTCCTGCAACTGTCTACTTGGTTAGATTGTCTCTCCGACGGTTCTATTACATCCTAAAATGGCACATTGTACCCCTGAGGGTTCTATCACTTTCTAAAGTGTTACTTTGTGCCTCTACTGGTTCTGATACTTTCTGCTGAGTTGCATTGTATTTCTGTGTGTAGGTTAGTTTGTCTCTCTGGGGTTTATCACTTCCCACTGTGTTTCTCTGTATCCCTGAGTGTTCTGCCACTTCCTGTATTGTGTGATTGCTGCAATCAGTGAATGCCATTCCAGCAGGTCAGGTTCCCAGGAGGGCAGGGTGTGGTGTGACACCTGAAGCTGAACCTGGAGAGGGGGGATTCACTGTACAGGAGGCAGATCAGATCAGCACAGGGTCTCAGTCCAGCCTGGCACATAACATACCTCAATCCCAGCTCTGTCCAATCACTCCCAGCTTGTGGCAGCTGCTGCACTTTGGAGCTGTGCTGCTGATCTTTTTTTTTTTTTAACTCACTAAACCAGCTTTATTGAAAAGTAACAAACTTCCCAGTGTGACGTAGGTCAGAAAGGTAAACACCAGGTGGAGAGGCAGGGAGTGTAAGTGAACCATGCAGCCTCCGCCTTCTCTCCTGGATAAAGGATACTGCATGGGGTTAATTTAAAGGGGTATTGTGCTAAATCGTCTGAGAGTTTTCATAACACGATACATGACGTATACCAAAGATAAATATATACAGCTGCAAAGCAAAACAGCAACACCAAGACAGAAAGATATTCCAATAGGGACTGAATTATATTCGGCATCAAAATATTTACAAAACATTTCACTATAATAACAACATTTCTACCATTCTTACCACCAATAATAACAGTAACAATATGAAAGCTAATGTTTCATTTTCTAGGTCAGGGGTAGGAAACCTTGGCACTCCAGCTGTTGTGGAACTACAAGTCCCATGAGGATTTGCAAAACTTTGGCAGCCCCAGGCATGACTCCCTGAGTCAGATGCATTATAGGATTAATAGTTGCAACACATCTGGAGTGCCAGGGTTGCCTACCCCTCTTCTAGGGTGACAATGCTGCCCCTGCATAGATACAGTACACTGAGTGAGGGAGTGTTGTCACCCTAGGACAGGAAATGTCTTACTGGTCGGATCACCAGGTGAAAATAAAGGGAAAAAATACCTGAATATAAAAAACGAATGCAGTGCCCACATATAAGCAGGGCCATCCCTATAATGAGGCAGCTTGAGGAGGCAGGTTTGGCAGGGGGCAGGCAGAGGGGCAGCAACGGCTCCCCAAGTTGCTAAAAGCTCTTAGCAACCTGTGACGCTCTGTCCGGCTTCCCACCCAGCTCACTGACATCATTGGTCGCCAGGGAGCTGAGCGGGATGCTCTGTCTGGTGTCCCACCGATCTCCCGGCAACCAGTGATGTCAGTGAGCTGGGCGGGACTGGAGAAAGAGCCGCTAACAGCATGGCTCTCTGTCTAGTGTACCACAACTGTCCATTCCACCACATCCACCGCACAGCACCCCCTTCCCAAGCACTATCAGCAGCACCTGCCGCCAAGCCCTTCCACCCCAACACTATCAGCAGCACCCGGCCCCCAAATGCCACCCACCTCCCCTGCTCCACTGCCTCGGGCAGCATATAGGGTAGGGACGGCCCTGCATATAAGCACTCAATGGGGCCACGTGGCAACCGTTGTGTGCAACTCCTGTGTGCAACCGCACACGATCGCGCAGTCCCGGGATGCGGGTGCCGAGATCGTATATTGTTCTGCAATGTTGTGCAATGTTTGTATAACATCCCTGCCTATAGCCCCTAAATTCCAGGCACAGTCCTGTGTTTTCAAGATTTGGCCCTGGGAATTTCTCTCCTTTTCACCAGTGTCCGGCTTTACAACTCCCAGCTTCTGAAAATCTTGTGTGACATTTAAATAGATCTATACCCAATCATTAATATCTCCTATAGGTTTTATCATGTTAATTGGATGAATGAATAATAAAAGAAATATGCAACTACCAGTGGATGGCAGATGTGGTGCTCTGGCTCCTGCAGACTGTTCCTCCCAGCCGCTGTCCGCACAGACATATGGATTTGTCATAGGGACAAGAGGAAGTGTGAGTGAACTACAACGGCAGAGACATAACTTATTTTTCTTATAGAGGCTTTCCAAAATAACAAATGGAATCATTTACAGGTTGGACAAAAGATGTAATACTGTATGCACAGTTCTCTGGCTCCCTGAGCAGCCTTGTTGAATGGAGCAGTGGACATGGTGCTTGTTGGACTGCTGGAGACCAAGACCACAGGAGACCTGGACCGCTAGAGGCCTGGACCCCTCAAGACCTGGACCGCTGGAGATTCAGGCCACCGAAGACCAAGACCGCTGAAGACTCAGGCTTCTTTAACCAAGACCGCTGGAGACCGGAGCCACTGAAGACCCAGGTCACTGGAGACCAAGACCGCTGGAGACTCAGGCCACTGAAGACCAAGACCGCTGAAGACTCAGGTTTCTGTAACCAAGAACGCTGGAGACCGGAGCCACTGAAGACCCAGGCCTCTGAAAACCAAGACCGCTGGAGACCCAGGCCTCTGAAAACCAAGACTGCTGGAGAACCGGGCCACTGAAAACCCAGGCCACTGAAGACCACGACTGCTGGAGACTAAAGCCACTGAACACCAAGACTGCTAGAGACCTGGACCCCTCAAGACCCAGGCCACTAGAGACCTGCCTCGCTAAAGACCAAGATCACTGGAGACATAGGCTGCCAAGGACAAAAACTGCCGGAGACCTGGATCATTGGGTACCCGGACCGCTGGAGACCTGGCCTGCTAAAGACCAAGATCGCTGGAGACATGGGCTGCTGAAGACCAAGACCGATAGAGACCAGGATCATTGGGGACCCGGACCAGTGGAGACCTGGACTGCTGGAGACCTCAACCGGTGGAGACTTGGACTGCTGGAGACCTCAACCGGTGGAGACTTGGACTGCTGGAGACCCGAACCACTAGAGACCTCGATCAATGGAGACTTGGACTGCTGGGGACCTGCACCACTGGGTTCTGTATTGATCAGATGTCTGACTTTCTGGAGTGCTGCTAGCGCAGGATACTTTAACCCTTGCTACCACAATAGCTACTAAAGAAACCATATGTGGGTGTTTAAGATTTGAAAATGAAAGAGAGAAGCTGATTGGTTGCCATGCACAGCTGCTCCAGATTTTGTCTGCTCCAGTTTTGATAAATTCCCTCGTATGTTTCTTTAACATGCGCTGATATGATGACTTACCTTAAACTGATCACTTTCACCAGCATATCTAAAATAAAAAATAGAGGCTATACAGCGGACTCCCTTTAATGTTCCCTTTAAAGTTCTCCTTTAAATCATCCCTTTTTGTCTTTTTTCAAGTAGTAAACTTCAAACGTGGCCCCTAGTCTCTTTGATTTAATCACAACTGTGGACAGACTTTACTCCGCTCTCCACCGCGCGCTGCCACTCAGGCGCCCGAGATGAGAAGTTTAAAGAGAATTGCAAATTTCAGTGACACAGTGCTCTCTGTCATCTTCTGAGCGGGGATTAGGCAGCAGCAAACTCCTCTTTATAATCTGATATTAAACAGGAGAGCTGCTGCTATATATTGTACAAGATAAAATGTGATACCTGACATGGACAGGGGACGGGATGAAATGTGCTGCGCAGGTAGAAGAAACAAGGGGGGGGGGGGGCTGACAATCAATGATGGGAAATAAAAGTAAAATGTGATGAGGGAGAGGGGCAGCCTGACAAAAGTGATCTTGTAAAAGGTTGCCATGAATGCTGTATGTCATGCTGGCTGGTGTGAACTTTGAGTTACGGGGACTGTAGGCCTGTCCTTGTCTCTCAGATCCGACTCGGGTTAAGAGTACAGCATATCGAGAGGGAGCTCAAAGCCATTTTTAATGTGACATTTACATTTTTAAAGTGATATTAAGGTTTAAAAGGTTTCTAAGATATTTCAGTTTTTAATTCAGGGCCCATTCACACCACACCTAGGTTACCTCCAGACCAGACCAGAACCAAAATGCATCCCAATGTATCCCTATGCTATTTCTGGCCTCTGTTCACACCAGCGCAGTCCGTTCCAGACCAGACCAAAAAAACACTGCTTGTCCTATTTTGTCTGGTCTGGAATGCACTGTAACGCATCAAATACACATTAAAAACACATACAAATGCACTGGCATGCACCTGTAAGACCATTTTAAGCTAAAAAAAAAAAGAAAAATCCAAAGGCGGCAAAATTGCTGGAAAAACACGGCAAAAACGCAATGCACTGCGTTCCCGATCTGGTCCGGAAAATAGTGTGAACCCAGCCTAAAACACATTGGATGCGGCTCTTTTATGTTTAAATGGTTTAGTTTACTGCAGAATCAGTCATCCACAACTCTGCCCCTGGCTATATCTCCAACCTTGTCTCAAAGTATCACCCTAACCGTCCCCTCCGCTCTTCACAAGACCTCCTGCTTTCTAGCTCCGTCATCATCTCCTCCCATAATCGCCTCCAGGACACCTCTAGAGTCTCTCCCATCCTCTGGAACTCTTTACCTGAACCTGTCCGTCTATCTCCTACTCTGTCTGACTTTAGGCGATCACTTAAGACTCATCTCTTCAGGGAAGCCTATCCCACCTCAACCTAACCACTCAACCATCACATTCTCATACAATTCATCCCCACACAGCTAGCTCCTCATGTATCATTTCCCCTCCCTTTGAGATTGTAAGCCCTCAGGGGCAGGGCCCTCCTTACCATCTTGTCTTGAATTTTATTGTAATTGTAATGTCTTCCTTATATTGTACAGCGCTGCGCAAACTGTTGGCGCTATATAAATCCTTTATAATAATAATAACAGAAGAGTGAGATGTAACCCCCGGGATCCTGTCCTGACATCTGACCTTATTCCTCCTGACCTTATTCCTCCTTCCCTATTCTGCTTTACAACCAAACATAAATAACAAATAAAACAGTCAACTAGGGATGCACCGATATATCAGTCGCCGAAACATATCGGACGAAAATGCCACTTTTGGCACAATGCCAAAATTGCCATTTTGCTGCTGATACAGCGGCACATCCGTTCTTTCTCTCCTCCCCGCTGGGCGCTGCTCTGTGTCCCAGCGGGGAGAAGAGGGAATGTCACAGGTGGCCGGCAATGCGGGGGAGGAGTCAGGTGTCAGATCGAGCTCTCCTCCCCGCACCTCTCGCCCAGCCTCCTGTGACAGCTTGTCAGGATGGGGAGAGGGTACAAGCAGTCAGAGATTGCTGAGTGTTTGTAGATAAGTGAGGACAGAGTATGGTTACTATATCCTCAATTATAAATGAATGGGAAGTCCTCTACATCACTTCCTGTTCATTCATGATTGTAGTTATAGTAAACATACCATGTCCTCGTGTTATGAAGGAACAGGAACACTCAGCATAGAGGCTTCCTGTTCATTGATAACAGGGGATGCAGAAAAAGAGATTGAAGACTCTGTGTCCTCAATCTCTTTTTCTATTTTAAAAGGAAAATATCAGACCCCCAATATTTCCCCAAAGCCCCTAAAAGTAAAGTAAAAAATAAAAATATTTAATAAAAATGAATAAATAAAAAAATATATAACAAAATGTAAAAGTTTATTAAAAAAATAAAATATTTTTTAAAATTTGAAAAAGTTATTAAAAAAATTCGGTTTCTGCCTGACATTTTTTTTTTTCGTTTCGGTTTTATAATTTACATTTTGGTGCACCTCTACACTTAACACCTGAGAACCTAAAATTGTATTTAATCGCAGGATTCCTATATTTGATTATATTGTGTCGTTTTATTCCTTCTATGACAAATATTTTAAATATAATATGTAGCAGAGCTTGGAGAGCAATGATGGTGGAGGAAGATTTTCTCTTTTTCGGCTGTCGCGTGCACGTGCGCCTGTGTGTCTTTTAATTTTCCTCCCTAATCTCTGAGCAAACATTACGCCGTGTTTAATTTTGATTGAATAGCTGACGCATTATCGTTTAACTGCTGTCAGGAATAAAACTGCTTACCCCATAACTAATTTTATGTTTGATCATTTCACCCGGTTAAGATCTTCCTGGAAGCCCTTTATTTTTTAACGGTCACTGAAATAAAGTCGTATTGTCATTTGCAGCTCTCAGTTTACCTGCCGGAGATTTTATATTGATCGGACCTCATTATCTATATAAATTGCGGTCACTTTATTACATTATTTTCTTTCTTTCGTAACTTTAACTTTTAAGGGATAACAAAAATATCAAATTCTATATAAATAAATCACTAAATATACAGAATGCATTTTCTTTTTGTAGTAGGTTTTCTGTGCTGGTCCAAATCAAATTTTTTGTTGCCCAATAATGAGCTCATCATTTCTCTCCAGTATGGTTGTTACAGTGTATACGCAGGCAAAAGACCACATATTTAGCACATTTCAGCTATACATGCGCACGCCCTGGGCTTTTATCCCTGTAAACATGCTTCAAGTACAGAAAAATAACTGTTGATGTGCCAGAAATATAGTGTGGTCCTACCTCTCTGTTTGATCCTAAGGACTACCTCCCTGTTTGACACGACAACACAGCTCTGAATTCCAAACCTTGTGGTGTCAGCCCTACCTACTTCATTTCTGATGGATTACAAAAAGCACAGCCCTCTCCTCATCTCCCCCTCCCCTCCGTATCTCCATAACCCCTCCTCCTAATCTTCCCTCCTCATCTCCATAACCCCTCCTCCTAATCTCCCCTCCTCATCTCCATAACCCCTCCTCCTCATCTCCATAACCCTTCCTCCTAATCTCCCCTCCTCATCTCCATAACCCTTCCTCCTAACCCCCCCTCCTCATCTCCATAACCCTTCCTCCTAATCTCCCCTCCTCATCTCCATAACCCTTCCTCCTAATCTCCCCTCCTCATCTCCATAACCCTTCCTCCTAATCTCCCCTCCTCATCTCCATAACCCTTCCTCCTAATCTCCCCTCCTCATCTCCATAACCCTTCCTCCTAATCTCCCCTCCTCATCTCCATAACCCCTCCTCCTAATCTCCCCTCCTCATCTCCATAACCCCTCCTCCTTATCTCCCCCTCCCATCTGCATCTCCATAACTCCTCCTCATATCTTCCCTTCTCTCCTCATCTTCCCCTCCCGTTCTCATCTCCATAATCCTTCCTCCTCTCCTCCAGGCCTCCACCCACTCCTCATTTCCCCCTCCCCTTTATGATATGACAACATAACTCTGGTGTCAGCCCTGTCTACCTCATTTCTGATGGATTACAAAAAAACAGCCCTCCTCCTCATCTCCATATCCCCCCCCCCTCCTCATCTCCTTCCTCCCTCCTTATCTTCATAACGCACCCACATCTCCTCACTCCCTTCCTCATGTCCATAACCCCTCCTCCTCATCTATATAACTCTGCCTCCTCATCATCTCCTTCCTCCCTCCATAACCCATCCTCATCTTCTTGCCTCCTCCACATACCCATAACCCCACCTCCTTTCCCTCATCTACATAACCCCCCCTCCTCATCTATATAACTCTGCCTCCTCATCATCTCCTTCCTCCCTCCTCATCTCCATAACCCTTCCTCATCTTCTTGCCTCCTCCTCATACCCATAACACCGCCTCCTTTCCCTCATCTACATAACCCATCCTCCTCATCTCCATAACCCCTCCTCCTCCTCTTCTCCTCCTCCTTTGCCTCCTCACCTCCATAACCCCTCCTCCTCATCTTCCCTTCCCCTTGGAAGTAAATTGCCCCCCTCAAACCTGGGTGGGAATTTTGGGAAATCAGAGCAGCTCTGATGTCAGTATAGGAGCCAGGCAAACTGCATTTTCAGCAGTAGGTGAGCAGTAGCACCCCATATATTTCTTCTAAGAGAAGGATTATTTTAAAGCTCCACCTCCCAACTTCAGAGGAGGGACGGCTTCGGTGATGCGCGGCATGTGCTGCGATGAATAGGGGCGTGGCTACACCTCTTGGTATATGGGCCATGTCAGTCATGACCATAGACAGATTATGTGCATACTCCCAGCATACACTGCACACAGATACCTCGGCCCCTTCATTACTGCGCCACGAGTGAGACTCCTACAAGAACACATAATAATCCTCAGCAGGAGGATCTTCAAATGTCACCATTACATATGATTTCACTGAGATATCACTTTGTATGAGCTTACCTCCGAGGAGATCTTCATTGGACTCGCCGGGGGAATACTTAGCCAGCAGCAACTGTGGAGACAATAAACACTTTGGTCAGTGGTATGTAATGTACAGCATAGTATATACAGTGCAGGGGTCAGGTGTATGTAATGTACAGCATAGTATATACAGTGCAGCGGTCAGGTGTATGTAATGTACAGCATAGTATATACAGTGCAGGGGTCAGGTGTATGTAATGTACAGCATAGTATATACAGTGCAGAGGTCAGTGGTATGTAATGTTCCGTATGTAATGTTCCGCATAGTATATACAGTGCAGGGGTCAGGTGTATGTAATGTATAGCATAGTATGTACAGTGCAGGGGTCAGGTGTATGTAATGTATAGCATAGTATATACAGTGCAGGGGTCAGGTGCATGTAATGTATAGCATAGTATATACAGTGCAGGGGTCAGGTGTATGTAATGTACAACATAGTATATACAGTGCAGGGGTCAGTGGTATGTAATGTATAGCATAGTATATACAGTGCAGGGGTCAGGTGTATGTAATGTATAGCATAGTATATACAGTGCAGGGGTCAGGTGCATGTAATGTATAGCATAGTATATACAGTGCAGGGGACAGGTGTATGTAATGTATAGCATAGTATATAACGTGCAGGGGGTCAGGTGTATGTAATGTATAGCATAGTATATAACGTGCAGGGGGTCAGGTGCATGTAATGTATAGCATAGTATATACAGTGCAGGGGACAGGTGTATGTAATGTATAGCATAGTATATACAGTGCCGGGGACAGGTGTATGCAGGGGCGGACTGGGCCATGGGGGAAGGGTGGCAATTGCCACCCGGGCCTCTCTGGTGCCTGTAAAAACGGTCTTTGCCGGCGCAGCGGCAATCTGCCCTGTCGGCCGCTCGTATCGTGCAGAGGAGGAGGAGAGGCCCGTGTAGTGCTTGAGCTCCTCGGCAGCTGCCTCCGCCCACTACTTCTGCTATTGGCTGGAGGGAGACTGCACTTCTACTGACTGTCTGCCAGGGTCCTAAAGGGAGGACAGCAGGAAGTGGCTGGAATCACCTCCAAATGTGCAGGTGACCTCCCAGGAGAGGAAAAATAGATGGCACAGCACCTAAAACAGGAGTGGAAAAGAGTCACTGTAAGTCCCTGTTCTTTCTGTGTGACCTCTGTGCTGCGTTACATGCTGACTGCTGCACTGCATTACTGACCTCTGCACGGCGTTACATGCTGCACTGCAATGTATAGCTTGGCATACACATTACAGAGGTCAGGGGTATGCAATGTCCAGCACAGCATACACAGTGCAGGCATCAGGAGTATGTGATGTGCAACACTGTGTGTACAGTGGAGGGGCACAGGAATATGTAATGTACAGCATAGAGTATACAGTGCAGGGGGTCGGGAGTATCTAATGTACAACATAGTAAAGTCAAGTTTTTAATGCCATCCGTGTCCCCTTTAAGGAGATTCACACTCCATCACCATAGAGTGTGAAGGTGACAATAAATAATAAATTGTGAGTTGCCACCAGAACAGGAAGTAAGGAGAAATCGCCAGAGGACACTTCGTCCAGTATCTAAGAGGAGATTTCCCTAACTTTGAAGAGATTTTGTCTCAATTCCTGTCGTGGCTATGGGACAAGAAGTGAAATCTCCCAAACGGGAAGGGAATTAAAAATGAAGGATTATAAACGTCCTCTCACTATCCAAATATAAAAAAATGAGTTCTGGTTTCAGTTATACTTTAATTTCCCAATCCTCATAACAATTGACACAACTTTACCACACATACACAAAAAGCTGTCTGAGGTAATCACTTTGCATGGAACCTCCCTGAAATAAGGTTTTGCAGGTTGGGATGTCTGATATACTTACTCTGCAAACTTAATGAAGCTTAACTTAATCATTAAAAATAAATAGGCCTCTTTAAAATATTTGTGTCTGCCTCGCAAGCTCTGTGATATAAATTATGTATATTTAAATTAAATCTTCTCAAGTTTTGTCACACACAAGATGGCGGCCATCGTCAGCCAGCCGCTTGCTACGCCACTCCCAAGATGGCGGACGGTCCGCGGCTGCTCAGCCCTTTGGAAGCCGCATCACGTGACAGTGGTACTGTTATGCCACTCCCAAGATGGCTCCGAGTCATGTGACAGCGGGCGGAGCAGCGCTCTGTCAGCCGTATGTTGTGCCACTCGCAAGATGGCGCCGCCCAGGGATTGTCTTCTGCTGGTCGCGGGACTCTCGGTGTGGTGGTCGTACACGGCCTGTGCGTCTGCTGAGGATGGAAGCTTGAAGTGCGACGATCTGCGCCTGGGACAATATCCTGAGAGGCGGATTGTTAGTTATATGGAGGCAGGGAGCTATTCTATACTAGGGCACTACAAATACCAGCAATGGCCTGCCAGGGAAACCATAGAATTGCTGTCTAGAGAGATGTAAGGGGACCGGGGGGGCTATAAGAACCAGCAAAGCCATGCCAGCAAACTGGTCACACCAGCCTACAAAGAGCTGCAAATGTTTATGGCCTCTCTTAAAGAGACCCTGTCACCAGACCATTCATATGAATATATGTGCATTTAACGCATTGTAGAAGACTCCTCTGTGTAGCTATCCAAAACCCCCAGAGACTGACGCTGGGAGATGCCATGTTGGATGTCAGCAGTAACGCACAGTCAGAGCTGTCACCCAATGGGCCATAATGGGACAGTAGAGGGGTTCTTTCCCTAAAGAGGTGACAACATTGGGGTTTTCCAGAGCACAGATATCTGTTTTTAATTTGTATCTGTTTTTGCGCCTCATACATATTATTCTAGTGGCGGGGGTAGGCAAGCTCGGCATTTCAAATGCGGTTAAATTACCTTAAGGAACCATGCCTGTGGCTTTCAGAGTCTTCCAATACCTCATGGGACTTGTAGTTCCACAGCAGCTGGAGTGCTGATGTTGTCCGCCCCTGTTCTAGAGGCATACACTTGTTTCCTGTGTGTTTCATCAAATCTGCTTCTTTTTCTTAATCCTTGAACATATATTTGCCTGGACCCCGAAATAAACCCGGTAACGCAAGAACCCGTTAAATGTGCAAACTTGACAGCCATGGGTGAGTTGTTTCATTTTAAAGAGTATCTCGACAAGTGACATATGTAGTCCTGATTATGTCTGGACAGATCTCGGGTACGCCCCGTAAATCCTTTGAGTCTACAGTCTAATGTCTTAAATAGGGATGCACCTATACCGTTCATACCGGTGCTTCCGCTGCCATGGAGCCATCTACCCACGCAATCTGATTGCCCGAGAAGCTGGCTCCATGTTGTCTAACCTGCTTGATTGAGCTTGCCCGGGAAACCGGCTTTCTTAGCCAATCAGCATCAAACAGCTTCCTGGCCAATCAGGAAGCCAGGCGATGAGTAATGACCAGCCTCCCAGCTTCCTGATTGGCTGGAAAGCCAGCTCCATGCTGATTGGCTGGAAAGCTGGCTTCCAAGCCAATCAACATCGAACCAGCTGTTCCAATCAGCATGGAGCCCGTTTCCTGGCCAATCAGGAAGCTGGGAGGCGGGTGATTACTCGCCGCCCAGCTTCCTGATAGCACTGGAAGCTGGCTTGATGGTTCCCCTATGGCACTGTCATAGGTATCGGTGCATCCCTTATCTTAAAGGTATAAAGTATTATGACATTGGTCCAGCGTGGGCTGATGTAAGCATGCATATGTCATACTTGGTTGGCCCATGGGGATCCTGTAAAGCACTGAAGAGGCCAGAGCTTCTACATTGCTGACAGCGATCTTCCAGGTCCTGTAACGGCGCCAAGCTGAGCAGGTTCCCCTCTGCTCTAAGGACCCTGTAACACCATATCCAGTGCGTTCCGGCGTGGTTCGAGTCAGGAATGCACTGGACCTCATATATGAAGCCGGGCTGCGTTCTGGGGTGGGAGGTGGCACTGCAGTGCCATTCATGTCAATGGTGCGATTACCTGCACTGGAATGCAAGGTACAGGAATGCCCTCCGTTCCGGTGCAGTGCGATCGGAAAAAATAGTGCATGCAGCATTTTTTCGATCACACTGCACCGGAACGGAGGGCATTCCAGTACCTGGCGTTCCGGTGCGGGTGATCGCACTGTGGGCATGGGGGTCATGTTTGCGGTGCCATTGACATGAATGACACCGCCAAGCCCCCTCCCGCCCCAGAACGCAGCCCGGCTTGATGTATGCGATCCAGTGCGTTCTCAGACCTTGTCTCAAAATATCACCCTAACCGTCCACTCCGCTCTTCCCAAGACCTGCTTTCCAGCTCCCTAATCAACTCCTCCCATACTCGCCTCCAGGACTTCTCTAGAGTCTCTCCCATCCTCTGGAACTCCTTACCCCAACCTGTCCGTCTATCTCCCACCTTGACTGCCTTTAGGCGTTCCATAAAGACTCATCTCTTCAGGGAAGTCTATCCCACCTCGACCTAACCACCCAACCATCACATTCTCAAATAATTCATCCCCACACAACTAACTCCTCATGTATCATTTCCCCCTCCTCTTTTAGATTGTAAGCCCTCAGGGGCAGGGCCCTCCTCACCATCTTGTCTTGAATTTTATTGTGATTGTAATGTCTTCCTTATATTGTAAAGCGCTGCGCAAACTGTTGACGCTATATAAATACTACGTAATAATACCCAGCTCTGAAGAAGGGGGCATGTCCCCGAAAACACGTTCAGCAGTGGTAGCGGGACTCTGTGAGGAAAGCAGAGCTCTTGGATTGTCCTTCAATCGCTCCAATTTATTTCTTGGAACTGAAGAATTTTAACAAGCCTTGTGATGATGTCACAGCGAGTAATAAAATCAATTTCCTGCAACAGGAAAAAGGAATAATGAACGCTGGACCAGAATCTGGAGGGGGAAAGGGAGGTTTGGGGGTAAATTTGGGTCATGTCTGTACAAGTCCTTTAATGAAGGTATTCATCATGCACCTCTCTTCTTATCTTCTGCAGCTCCGTGTTATCCGGCACCTAATATTTCCTGTAAAGATTCTGCCGGGAACGTCACAACCTTCTCTGGTAAAGAAGTTGGCTTCTTCCGAGCATTTCCCTGCCGCAACGTGTGAGTACACTTATATTAATGTGCTTAACCCTTTCGCTGCCAGCGGCGTATGCCATACATCACTGGCAAGGGCCCCTTTAAAATGGGACTCTGTTTAGCTGTGTTATAAGCAAAAAGGTTGGCTTTACACTGGAAGCGATTCAGCCACCAGATCGCTTCCAGGGTACGGTGAAGACTTCACCCTCACGCTCCAGCACCCCTGCCTTGCTTACTGGTGTTGTATGCCCCTCCTGCCGACCCAGGACCAGCATCACGGGTGTCAGCAGGTAGAGGGAAGAGAGGCCGGCGAATATACATTCAAGGATCTCCTCTCTGCTGAATGGAGCTGGAAACGACGCGGATTGCACTACTTCTAGTTTCTCAGCTGTCTTTCACTGGCTGCAGAAGCCGGAGAAGTTATTCAAGAGCGATCTGCTAAAGATCAGTATTGTAGCAAAAGCCGCCTGTTTATTTTATCTTCCAATGTGCTATTTACTGCAGTCCTGCTTTACAGGGGCCAAAACCTGTAATTTACAGTCCTGGTAAGTTATTCTGGCACAATTATTTAACCGTAAGGAACGAGAGTGTATATCATGATTTGCTTTGTATATGAATTTATTTCTGTTCTACTCATTTCAGAAACGGTTATTCCTACAAAGTAGCGGTGGCCTTGTCCTTGTTTCTCGGATGGCTCGGAGCTGACAGATTCTACCTGGGTTACCCCGCTTTAGGTAAGACACTGCCCTCAATTCCATACTTTTATTGGCATTGGGGTTTTCTACTGATCTATGAATAATTTGGGTGACTGTGAATGACCCCCGCACCCCCCCCCCACACACACACAGTCCTCAAAGCTGAAGTTTGCATTTCCTGGTCCCTCTTCTACCCCTTATCAACATGGCAATTCAATATTTTCATTTTCATACCTTATTTAATTACATTTTACACCCAGTGGCATTATCCCTTTCTAGTTTTTTTAATATACCTTTTTTTTTTTTAGTCCCAGTGAAGTCCTCGCTAGGTTTCTGTGCTTCTCCTATGCAGTGCAGGCAGATCATAGCTGATGGGAGGGGCCAGCAGGGTGCTGTGATGTTTGCAGAAAGCTATGTAAAGCACCCTGCTGGCCCCTCCCATCAGCTATGATCTGCCTGCATTGCAAAGGCTCAGCCCTGATGCAAGCATTGGAATGGCTTTTGGGAGAAGTTTTACAAATATTGGCTGGATGGGTGTGTGTCAGTTGTATTTGCTTTTAGACTGCCCTGGTAAATGCTCACATGATGGTGAACCCCCATGATTTAAAAGAGCTGATTTCATACACAACTTGATTTTTTTTATTGAAGTGGAAATCCAAATTATTTTAATAGATATGTGATATGGAAAGAGTTATAACCTCTGTCGGCTTTTTAATGTTCAAGCATTATCCATATTCACCACCAAACCTCCCTGTATGCCATGTCCCAGCATTATTTGTTTTCTTGTAGCGTGAAACCGCTTTTATTACTCCCTGTGACATTGTCACCAGCACATTTTTGGCGGGACAGCTGCCGACAGGTCAATTGCTATGGATGTAGGCACGCCCCCAGAATTACATCTTCCAAGAGCCCTATCCCTACACACTGTGTGGGCAGGCTCTTGAAAGGCAACACAGCAAAATAGTTCTGTTGGAAAAAATATCAGTGTATTCATTTTTCATATTTCTGTAGTCCAACAGGCAGGTGAGACAATACTGGGATTTTAAAGGCAATGTGTTGTCCTTCCAAACAGGAAAGTTCGAGTGCAGTGGATTTATGGCGATCAACCACTACTTTTGTGTACTTTTAGAGTATTTTAAATGGATAAAACACAGGGAACTGTAAATGTATTGGAAAGATGGACTGCATGTTTTTATCTATTGCCACAGGAGACCCTGCCGCTTGCTGTCGGTGTCTACTGTGGGGGTGACATGCCTTCACTTCCTGTTCTGTCTGACACCCTTCACCTTGACTAGACAAATAGAGAGCGTGAATTGCACAGCCTGCACTTTAAACCTACCAGGAGTTTCTAACCGTTCCCTGCTCTGGTAAAAATAAAATGCTGTAAACTCCCCGTTATCCGGCATCCACAGGGATTGGTAGATTCCGGATAAATGTAGTTTCTGGTTGCTTGAGAGTTACTATTAAAAATAGGCCTAGATAATGCCACGCCCCGTACTATGCCACGCCCCGTACTATGCCACGCCCTGTACTATGCCACGCCCTGTACTATGCCACGCCCCGTACTATGCCACGCCCCGTACTATGCCATAACATAAGCTCTGTATTGACTTCATATTAATATTGAAATGCAGTCATCAAAAGCAAATTAAGACAAATAGACACAATCGTTTTTTTTTCTGGTTAGATGAGAGTTCTGGTTAGTTGAATACCAGACCACTGAGAGATTACTGTAATAAAAAAACTAAGTTTTGCCTATACTATACATATGCTTTAATAACATAGATAACGATTTAAACACCATGGAGATTATTTATTTTAAATTATTTTGATGTGGTATGGAGTTGTATTTTGCAACACAAAAACAGCACAATTGCTTTCCCAGACTTAAAGAAAAGTTTAGACCTCACACCTATAAATCGTCTACGGACCACAGTTGTGATAAGGTTTCTGTTATGGGTCTATTGATTTGGTAAGAACTTTGTTGTTACTTAACATAAAGTAATACATATTTGGTTGCTTTTTTAGGACAAACAATGCTTTGTTTTATGGATTCTATGAATTTTTTTATGTAACCCAAAGACAGAAAAATAACAAAGCTTAAAAAACTAATTCTTTTTTGATCAGAAAAAATAGTGTTGCTGAAGATAAAAAGTATAAACCTTATTCTGTCATTTAAAATGGCACTAAAATTATGATCCCGGTACAAAGCTTTGCAAAGTTCTTTAAAAAATGTGACTCCTTTTTTTTTTTTTTTTTCGTTTTCATTTTGTAATGCAACACTAAAAATGAATAAAACAAAATTAATATAAATGAGAAAAAAAGATCCTAACGGTTAGGAAAACAGAAATAAAATAACAGCAGGAAAATAATGGTTATGGGGATATGGAGGTAATAAGGTTAAACTAGCAGGGTTATTCACAGAAGGGTGAAGAGTTTGGAGAAGGCAGGAGAAGTGAACAATCTAGGACAAAATAGCTGAACCGGAAAGTGAGCGGAATTGGAGAATTTTTACAAATCAGCGATGTTGTCCTAAATTGTTCCCTTCTCCGGCCTTCTCCAAACTCTTCACCCTTCTGTGAATAACCCTGTAAGTGTTAAGAAGCGCTTAACCTTTTCACTGTCAAATCGTTTTTTGCACACATATTATAATCCACATTTTAGGGCTGAAAGTAACTTGGTGGCAGTTACAAATATTTACGTCGCATGATATTAGCTCAACTCTTTATCAAACCTAAATTTTCAGTAAAAATTACACTTATTAATTTTAGTGCTCAAAAGCACAATATCAAACCAATTTATTTTTCCAAAATATAAAAGAATAGGTTGTGCAGTCAATAGATACCCAACATGCCAAGCTTAAAAATTGGGTGTGCCCGTGAAACGGCAACAAAATACAGTATTATTTGTGGTGACTGGTACTCTTTTAGATGACATAAAAGGAGAACTATGGGGTTAAGTCTTTTCCCCATAGTTCTCCTTAGGGTAACGGGAAGACACAAACTAGCATCCTCCCGTCACCCTAAGCTCAGTATATAGGGAGCTGTAGCTCGCAGTATACTGAGACGCCGCAGCTGAAGTGGATCCCGACAATTGTGCCGGGATCCGCCCAGCTGCGTGATTGATAGCTGGCTCTGCCTATCTAGAGGCAGAGCCAGCTGTACCCGCCCCCTCCCCCGTCTGTTCCGCCAGTCAGTGCTGGTGGATCGGAGCAGGGAGGGGGGAATCCAGCCCCTCCCCTGTCAAGGCAGAGAGCTCTGACAGGATCGAGAGGTGAGCGAATGCCGGTATGTGTTCGCTCACCTCCCGATCTACTGAGCCGACCTGTGACAGTCTCATTGTCACAGGTCGGCTAGAACTATGAGGTGAGTGAAAAGCACTCACCTCATAGTTCTCCTTTAAAGGGCCCCCATCACCTCGCACATTCAGGGCAATTAGTGTCACCTTTCAACTTAAAAAAAACTGATTGTGCTCGATGACAGCTGAAGAGCCGCAAGTGATGCGGGGAGGAGATTGGTGAACGTGTGTAAAGGTGCCCATACACTGTACGATTCTCGTACGAGAATCGCGGGAAATCCCGCGATCGTACGAGAATTGTACAGTGTATGGAAGGCGTGCGACCGTTTCTACTGTACGGTCGCA